AAAGCTATTACTCATTTCAAGTTTGGCTAGGTCAAAACAATATTTGTATTGAATTTCAATGATAAGAGTGATTAGTCAACAGATTTTGTAAAAGCCAAACAATTCCAACTTTTGTTTTTTTTTTGTTTTAATTAAAATTCAGATTGAAACAATCTTTATTGAAGTCTGAGAGATACACGAAGAATCTCACAAAATGCGGTAACGAATCCACTACCGTAACCAGATCGTTTATTTGAAATATTGAAAACATATGCGCTCTCTAGATTAATGAAGGAAAAATAGTGGGTACGAACAAGAAAAGAATCGAAAGAATCGAAAGAATCGAAAGAAATAAAGAAAAAGAGGACAAATCGGCGTGTTGCCCTTTAAATGAATTGAAGAATTGAAGAAAAAAGAGAGAAAGGGGGAAAGTCCATCTGGAAGTATTCAATAGAAGAGCACATATCCAAATATCGGCTGAAAGGGGTGTTTATAGAATTTTCACAAACTTTCATTTAAAGGAGTTTTCCAGATTTCGAATTTCAAAGCCACATATGGCATGCATTGCCCAAGGAAAGGAGAGATCGGCTTTAATCCAAAGATTTTTTTAGTTTTAATATGAGTACGTTCGTATTCAAATCTTCGGATTGTCAAAGAAGTGTGTGGATGTGATGAAGAGTGACCACAGCTCACCCTCTCCTCCTCCCCTCCTCCCCTCCTCCCCTCCTCCCCTCCTCCCCTCCAAACCAATCTCCCCACCTCCATCCCCCTTCCCTTCCTCACATAATGCTAACAACCAGTTCTTCAATCCACTCCCTTATTTCTTTCTTTCTTTTTTTCATTCTAATCTCTTTTTCTTTCAACATCTTGAGAAAAGTCGTGAAATGATTATTGAAAGTAAAGCTATTGAATGAAAGAGCGATTTGCAAGGGGAATTCAAGGGGATTATGTTCTAAGTTTTATCATTAAATGGAAAAATTTATCAAGGCGAATAGGCAGATAGTTTGCCAAAGATTTAATAAAGGTTTATTTTGAATGATTGGAGAAGAAGTCAAGAATTTTTGAGTTGAACACACTTATTGAGACTTATTGAGATCTCACAGAACTCCTTATAGAGCCTATTTGCTCTTAATCTTATGAAAAGTTTTCATATTTTCTTTGAGATGAAATCCTCTTAAAATTAGCATAACCATTTAGCGATCTGGCTGAATGGGTGTCAAGTGGTGATTAGATGAGAGAGTTTCGAGGGAAAGGGAGCGAGTGTTGGGAAGAGCTTCCAACATTCCAAGATGACACAATAACAATGTGAACAAAGATATTAGATCTTGAATGAAATCATTTTTGAACTTAGATTCTATTTCATTCTTTAGAAATCTATCTTTTAAGAGTGATTTTGAGAAAGAAATTTTAATATAATCATATAAATCTGAGCATAACAACTGGAACAAGCTTTAACAGTCTACAAACAAACTTACAGCTTACTTTAAGAGTGATTTTGAGAAAGAAATGTTAATATAATCATATAACAGTGATTTTCTACAAATTCTGGCAAAAATCCCATTTTCCCACCAACCTGGCGCCACTTTTCAACGTTTGCGTGAATGGATCTACAGGAATCGGAATGCTGAAATGAGAAATGAAGTGAAGTATGGTGAAAAAAGTCATGGGCAAAAATGCGCACATGCAAATCGACAAAAAAAACAAGCAAAAAGCAAAGGAATGCAGATGAAACGAAATCTCGTGAATCTCGAGTAAAAGGAAAGTAAATTTCCCCCACTTCACACCCCACAATGCCCCTCTTCTTTTCCCTTCCCCATCCTCTTCATGGTCACCTCCCCTCCCCAATCGAAGCTTCCGCCCGATCCACACACCGTGCAAGCTGCTCAAATACGGTCAACTCTATCTTCCCTCGAAATTTCCCCCATCAAATCGCTTCTAAATATCCACCAGTGAGCCTTCAAAACTCAGGGCACAGATAGACATGTAAAAAGTTTGTTGTAAACACTGCCCACGACATTTGATGTTGACCAAGTCAGTCGATCGTTCGTGTTTTTTGATCATCAAAAAAAGATTTGCGTCTCAAAACACAGATTTTTCATTAATCAAACACTTTCAATCAATTTTCAATCATTTTCAATCAATCAATCAATTCAATCATTAATCAATTTCAAAATCAAACAATAAGCTCTTCAAATCATGTCAAGTTTTTGAATTTTACTTTACAAAAGATTCAAATCAAGCTGATTTTTCTCCCTTTAGTAGTTGGTTCTCATGCTAATTTCAACAGCGCTAACTGAAAAGCAATGGAGCGAGGGGGGGGGGGACAAAAATTGGCGCCTTTTTAGGAAAAGAGGGATCATTGCAACTCTCCAAAAAGGAAAGTGAACAAAAGATGCGGTCAAGTTGGAAGAAAAGAATATTCAAAAGAGGAAGAAGTGGGCCAAAGAGGATGATTTCAATTGGATAAAAAGAGATGGGCATTCAATGAGCAGTCCAATCAAATTGGATAAACGGGAAAGGAATGGGAAGGGGGCTGGGAAAATGGAAACACTCTTTTCACAGAGCTCTTCCCCGATCAGAATTGTATTTTAAAAGTTTCATTGTGTCGGATTTTTGATCGAAAGGTGTTTATAATGGGGAAAACGTGTTTATAATGCCATTAGGGAAACGGAGAGGACAATGGGATTTGTAAAACTTGACGAAAACATGTCTACAAGATTTTCTGGACAGCCTAATATTCTTAATTGTACCATAGTATCAGAAAAGTTGAACGAATCGCTCAAGAAGGTAACCAATCAAAGGGACACAATATCGATGTTGTCACAAGTTGTTTTCCTTTTTCTTTTCTTTCAAAGATTAATCTTGTCGGTGCCCATTTGGATATCTTTTTTGAATGGGAGTTCCTCAGTTCAATCGGTCACTGTCATTTGATCGGCGGCTTTGATATCATTTCCCTTTTCCTTCCAATACAGATCATTTCCTCTGCAAGCGATACCGTAACAGATAACAATCTCCGATCTCACAAAAGTATCCTTTTCTTTCTATAGTTATCATCATCGTTTACTTTTATGGTCATCTAGATTAGAGAGTGAGAAAAGGGGAGAGTTTTTAATAGATTAGCACCTTTCATTAAGCGGAAAGGGATTTTGATAAAGAGATGAATCAAAGGAAATAATAAACAAAAAGGATTCATAATATCTAAATGCTCGACGTTTAGGATTGTAGTTTGACAGAAGTCACTTACAGTTACAGAGCTCCAAAAAATTAGTGAACAAATAGCGCTTATTGGATTAAATGAATAGCTATGGAAGTGCTCAAGTACTTGTTACATATTAATTGAAGGGAAAAGGGTCGAAAAAGAAATGGATGGATTGGATGAGAGAGATTGTTTGTGGATCGGCTCTCGATCAGGGGACACTAATTGATTGAATACACAAATGAAGATGAAGAGAACTTCTCTTCAAAAAATGGATTGGGTCAATAAAAAATGGGAAGAGTTAGTAAAAAGCTAGACAGTTTTCAAATAGGAAAACGACATTGATCATTGATTGAATGCCTTTGAATGCCAAGTGCTTTGCGGTTGGATAAAGTTGCGATAAGATTCCAATATTCTATTCCACTGTAGTCTTGATTCAAAGCTGAAGCAAACTGAAAAGTCTGAAATATATTCAGTCTTGTCGTTTGCATGTTTTAGCTTCATATAATATACTAAGCTTAATACTATGAGTTACAGTATCCAAGAATGAATCTAATCAAAGTTTATAACCAGTTACAATCTTTTTTCCACTATTCAGTCCTTTTTTCTCTCCTGTTAGCGTCTTTTAGTTTCATTAAGATCACTCACTCTTTCTTACAATTAGGAGGGCAATGTGTCAAAACTTTACAGGCTCACTCTTCGAAAAAAAGACAAAGAGGGGGATAAAGTTTATGATTGAGGCCGGATAACCATAACTCACTCAAAATCCCAGCACCCAACACAATACCCCATTCACCGAGGAGACAAAGAGGGGTACTGTGAATCAGCAATGGAGATATGGGTCTTCCCTAGAAAACACTCGAGATTATCCCCGGTGATCGTATTTTTGCGAATGAAGGAAGATGGTGACAGTCATCCCCTTCTACCCTCAATGCCCTCTATTCTCCCGTTGATCTTCAGAGACGCGTGCCCTTGTTTTATGACCGCCACCCCTCATCTCCATCACCTCTTCCTCTTTCACTCACAACAATAAGCCCAAATCTTTTAGGGTAACTCACACACAACTGTCATTTTGTGAGAATCGAAAAAATGGATCAGGGATTGTAGATAAATTTGACTCGAGTTGTCATGAATGAGCATCTATAGGATGGTCTGATCATCAGTTAAATGATACATCAGTTAAATGATTTTAAGTTTACAAAAGTTTAAAAACAAGCAGTCTTTAACTGAAGTAAGCGTTGAGAAGTTTAGGAGAAAGATTGGCCTTGAGTGAAGTGAAGAAAGGAGGATGTCCGTTCATTTCAGGTGATCATTTCCCCTCTCTTATGCCCTTTTTTGTGGCATTTAACGTCATTGACACTATCCGGATTTGAATGAGGAATGGGGTTTTTCAGAGCTCTTTTTCTCACCATCAAATGCATAGAATTACTTGGCCAAGTGCCTATAGACTATTCCAGCTGACTTCAAGTTGACAGAGTTAATGCGATATGTAAATTATTTTCTGCTTTTTTTACCCAATTTGGCTTTTTGTTGATTTACAAGAAAGAAGCTGTCAACTGTGACAGCTTTACAATTATTTTTGCCCGCGTGCTTGTGATAGAGAAGAACCGTAAAAGGATGAGAAAAATTAGAGCTGATAGATGTATAGGAAAGAAGAAAAGGATTAGGCAGATGAGGATCACGAAGAGCCGAAGCGTACCCTTTGATTTCACCCCTTCAATCCTTGGATCTCTCAAGGACAATCCTTCAATCTGATTGTGATTCGGGGTTGGCAAAGTAAGATTTAAGAGTTGCTTTTGTGCCCTCTTTATCGCATTCCACTCACCGTCAGTTGTCGTCTTCTCCACATCTTTCCCCATTTTTTCCTCATCTTTTCCTTCTCCAATTTCTTCCTCAATCTCCACTTTGATGACCTCATCTTTCCTCGTCGAACTCATCGATTCTCGACTCATTTTTGCCTCTTTTGAGTCATCTACTTTGTGGATGGCTTTCTGAAAATAAAAACATAATGATTCATATACTTTCTCACTTTTGCTTTAAGCATCTCCTTGCATTGCTTGAAGAGAACTTCTTTTTCAATGAAAGTCGAGACCGAGGTGAAGTCGACAGTGCTGCCCATACCAGTCGCATCGAATCCTGAAATCGTGCAGAGATGATAAAGTTTTCAATTCAAAACAATGGAATTGAGTTGTTGCTGAAGTATTTGAGTGAATTTTGAAGAGAATTTTGAAAGAGATGGTAACTATGTTTACAATAAGTAAACGCATTTTCAAACAAAAGAACTGCCGAACATTCCTTTCAATTTTTGAATCCCTTCGGCCGATTGGTGACGAAAAACGAGAGCTGATCAAAATGATCATTCATCATTCATGCTCTTCTTTTTCTTTTTTTTCTCATCACCAAAAATGATCATTTATTTTTCTCTCTCATTTTCATCCAATCACGAGCCTCCAAAATAACCCTTGCTCCCCGTTCACAAATAGGAGATTTTGGAGAAATTCTCTTGACATTGGAAAAAAAAACGAGGAGAGATCCGAGTGGAATGTGAGACGACCAGTTTGGATCTCGGGAAATGCCCGGAATGCACAATTTTGCGTTTTCAAATCGAGAAAATAACGAAAACATTGAGATGTGTTTTTATTTTATCTTTATCCGAGCTTCATTTATCTTTCACAAAAAGCAATGCATAACTAGTTTGACTGTGAACCAAAATTATATCCATATAGGAGACCCTTTCCTCCGCTCTCCCCCTTCCCCTCTCCTCACCTTTTTCGTTTTATAAAATGGATTTAAAAGAAAGAGGCGCCGAGAGAAGTTGAACCCTTGACCCCTGTTCGCAGCAGACTCTCTACCCACTGACCCACAGACGCTTCACTTGCTAGGGAGAAAGAAGGCACAAGAAAAGAGGAAGCGAAATCGAATAAACGATCTCACAAGTCCTTATCCAAAAGAATTAGTGTAGCAAACTAAACCGTTTTCTACGTTTGTCTCTACTTTATTAAATTCATTTAATTTTTGGATTCCGATATTCAATCTGAAAGCTGAAATCTTTTTCCACAATAAAGGGTGACTGTGAAAGAAAAAAAACAAGAAAAAACCAGCACATATTTTAAAAAAATCTCGAAGTCGAGAAACGCTGTCTTCTTGGCTAAAGAAGGGGAGTTCGTTGTGTGTGTCAGCCAGGGGATTTTTCCTTTGGCCGATCAATTGACAGCCGTCCCATCGTGTTTGAAAGGAAAAAAAGAAAGAGGATGAGATCAGTGGAAAAGAAAAAATAAATGAAAGAAGAGAAAAAGAGCACGAGTTCCTCTCCACAATCTTTTCGAAAACAAAAATCTGACAAAAAAAATCGCTGAAGACAGGAGAAACATTGATGAATGGAAAGCTTTTAGGCTATGGAAATTTAAGTAGATCATTTAGCTCACCGAGGAATATGCAAAAATGTTCAAATAGTAACTTGTGTTACTCGAGTAACTTGTGTAATTGTTCATGTAAATGTATTTTGCTAAGATTAGCTTGAGAAATATGTTTTTATTGTCAGTGATCAGGGAAAAAGGGTCATAAATTGTGTACAATTTGCTTCTTTTTAAAAGCGATAGATCTACTACAAAATCCAGTTGAAGAATACATACAAACTAGGCACTCATTCTTATCATACCAGTAAAAGTTAAATTCATTGGCTAACCGAAGTCATCCCATATAAGGGCCCAGAAACCAAAAGGAAAAGATGCCCTATTCAAAGTTATCGAAACGGCTTGGAACAAGAAACCAGCTGATCGTTGCAAGAAGTTAGTTAACACGTTGACGACAATGACGTTTTTGCACAAACAATCGCATGGGACAACGTTGTTTTTTTCGACAAAAAATGTCACCTGAAATTGTCACCTAAAAAGTTAAAATTTTAATAATCAACGGTTAAATCGACATTTTCCGGGACCAAGTCGAATATAGATACTACCCTACTTGCTTGTTTAATATCCATCATCAGCAAACATAAATATGCACAAAAAATCAATTTTGGTACTGTCACCTGACATCAGGTGACAATGTCCCAAGCGAACGAATATGTGTCAGACAGCATCAGGTGACAATGTCGTCAACGTGTTAAATCAATGAAGCGTAGACTCTTGAAAGTCATCAAAAACAAAGGTTTTGCCACTTCATATTAATTTTTATGATCGGTTCTATTTAAATGGCATATAATTTCATTTTTCAAACACACTTTTGTTAATTGTTGAGTTATTAAATAAATACTAAATTATGTTTGGTCAAAAGTGGTGCCAATCGAAAGCTAAGAGAAAATCAAAAAAATAGCTGTTGATGTCTTTTTGAATGGGTGTGAAAATAATGGAAAATTCGTGGTCTTTATGCAAATGGAGCATCGGTTCTATTTAATTGTCCGCCACTGTAGAAGTCGTAATTTCTAACTATGTGTGCAACGCTAGAACTTTCTCTAGAGAGCGATTTTATTAAAATTTTCAAAATTCCCCAAATCTTGTGCTCGATCTATCATTCAACGACTCCTTTTCTTCATTAGCCTATCTAAATCTCAACCAGAATGACTCTAGTGATCGCTCCCCTTTTTTTCCCCAATCCGAGTCAACGTCGTTCATTCATAAATCGAATTCCCGGGCGACGCAAGGCCCAATGTTTCCCCTAAGCCATTTCGACGATTAAAATCGGTCCTAAATCTCAAATATTCAGTTTTTCTACTAAAATGTTGTCAGAAGGTTAGTTCTTAGTACTAATCCTTATTATCTATATCCAAATTCCAGAGTTGATTAGCTTCATCCACCGGATGGAAGGAGTGAATCGCCAAATTTTCTTTGCCATCTCACTCGTCGCCGCTTTCACGGCAATTTATCTAGTTCAAGTACTAAGGCTTATAATATTCAATATCTAAACAATACTCTAGCGTCACTCCCATCCTTCAATTGGTTCCTATCGTCACGTGCTCTCATTTCTCGTCTTCATCAATGTCATCTTCGCCGTCGTCAACTACTTTTCGAATTTGGTAAAATTACTCACAACGCACCAGTATTCGATAGGTGTTTGCATCTCATTTTGGTGCCGAAATCTCACAGTCACTTCTGAGCATTCCCTTTTCAGTGCATTCATGTCCATTAGAAAAACCTCAACTAGACTTCCAGAATTGAACTTAACACTTTGTCCTAGACCGTGCACGTGACCGGGCATTGGGTTGTATTGGCTGGTGTCGAGGGGATCAAATCGGAAACTCTTTCTCTTCTCTCAGTTCATTCGCTCATTTTTGTCTTCTTCGAGAATGTCCTTCTCGTGACCGCTCAGATCTTTCATCGATGGCTCATCATTTGCAAGTGGGGACAATTAAAGTGCTAAAACAGAATGCAAAAGAATTGAAAACATTGCTCTCGTCCAACAATTGTTCAAACCTTTCAGAAAAGTGAGCACTCGTAATTCCCTGGCCGTTGCTATCTGGTTAGGGATGTTGGCTCACGTTCTCCTTCTCGGTTGGATGGCTTTATGGATGAAATCTTTGGTCACAACCACTCAATGCATTCACAAATTGAATGATAAAGTCTATGAAGTGAGTTTCGATTTGTGATTGAAAGCATTTGAGTTCCAGATCATCCATTACCACCATTCATTTATACCATAACATCACGTATATCATAAAAAAAACAATTCAACAATCAATAATAACAACAAAACACACAAAAAAGTGCGATAATGATAATGATATCCATTCCAGATCATCCATCACGATAATGAGGGAGTTTTGTTGAATGAGAAAACTGGTATGTCGTCAAGGAGTTAAAAGTTTAAAGATTGAATTTTTCAGTCGGATGCGATGATTTTGTGGAGCATCTAGAGTTGGAACATGATCTGGCGCAGGCTTCATTTCTCGCAATACGCTTTGAGGTTAGGCATGAGTTAAACTGTGTATGCACTCTGTATTTTTGGGTTACTTTAGTAGAAAAGAGCTTGGACTTTTGGAGAACAGCAAAACTATAGCTAGTACAAATCTGTTTTAAAACTAAAAAAAAAAAAGACAAAAAACAAAGTTCAGGAATTCGATGTAATAAGTGAAAGCTGGAGGCCTGCCAAGCAATTTGTCGTCTTGCTCAGGTGCTTAAGCACACTTTTCTGCCCGATTCGATCTCAGAGAAAATCCAATTTTTAGTCTTCTTTGTCTCGGTCTTCTTCTTTCTCTTCTTCTCATTATACATTTCACCATTTTGATCCTTCATCGAGTTCGACGAGGTTTAAAAGCTTATTTACGAGACTTGAAAAGGTCTGAAAAGAATTTCAGATCTTCGCTATGTGGAACGTGGTGATCATACGCAAATCGTTCGAGCACTCGTATTGCAGGTAAAATTACTGATTACTGTACTATCCAAGACAAAACCACAGTTTTCGATACCACGTGTAAAACGGTCAAACCAAAATTGACGAAAGTTTAGGCAGCGGTCCCTTGTGCTTTTCTACACGTTCCCTTATTTGCTTCAGCCACTCTAACAGCGATCTATCCAAAATTTGAGCTTCTATTTCGAATTCTCCCCTTCACTACTGCTTGGTTCCCAGCTCTGCAGGTTGCATGAAAAACAACGGAATCCATCAAACCCATTTTCAGTCAACAGCTCTCATTACCAGTGTGGCATCGTATAGACGAGCCCTTTATCGTATTTGTTTTCGAAAAGACGAGCCTTTATCTAAAAGACGCCCACTCGTTTCACCCAGTATAATCCCAGGAGATCCATCTTCTATTGGAGGTCTTTCAATTCAAACTCATATTCGCCTCTAAAATGTGAATGATTTTAGCTACTTAAATAAATTATTTATGAAATAACCACTTACGAATCACACTCTTAGGTACATGCACAAGATTCTGTAAAAATAAACAATTGAACACAAAAAGGAATATTGAAGGGGAAAGCTGAGAAAAGAGAATAACCGTTTTAGCTACCACCGAGAGAATAATAGATATTGTGCAAGCAAACGTTGCACATTTGAACATTTTGAAAATCCTAGGTATTGAAGAAAACGCACGTCAAAAGTTTACGTGAAAATGGTTAAAGAACTTAACCTAGTGAGTACGACTATGTGAAATACACAAAAAAATAAAAAATGGTGGGCTTCAAACTCAAAAGCAAAACTGACCCAAAGTTTTTTTCTGACTGAGCAGCATGTTTAGCCGATTATATGTGTCTTGCAGAACAACGGAAAAGGGGATGAACACAAGAAAGCACTGACCTATCACGAAAAAGTCAACACAAAATATCACATGATTAAAAAATGGGATAAAGGCAATCATCGATTATTCGTCAGTCTCCATCTCAATGTGCTCATCGGCCTTGACGTGATGTCTAAATTAAAAAAATAATTGAGATGAAAATGCTTTGGCAACCTCCTGCGATATACAAGCATGTAGGGAGATGAGGCTTTCAATCGGTCAGCTGGAGGATTTCTCTCCGAAACGCACGAATCATTGAATTCATACCTAAAGCTTTTATTCATTGATCTGTTAAAATTAATATCGTACCATTTGCCATTTGGATTGATCGCACTTGCTGTATAGTGACCACCGCCCAATCCTCCACTGTGATGCGACATTGCAATAAGGTCATATTGAACATGTTCATGCAATGTATTGGCCAGCTTATCGTTCAATTCGAAGCCACTGAAAATGCTATAAGCACTACAAAATAACCAAGTGCTTACCGCACAGGAATCTCGACTTGAATATCAATCTTTTCTCTGTTCCAACGAGTGTAATTGAAACGCTTCAGATGAATGATTAAGATCTACATCAACTTGATTTTTTTTAAAAACGGTCATGACCCACCTCGGGAAGTTTCCAAAGATCAAGCTTTTTCATGGCTCGCTGATGAACTTTACACCTTGGGCAGTACCTAAAACCCAAATAAATTTTAAGGAATTTTTGTTCAACCAGCTGTCTTGTTCTCCCAACTGTTCTTCTTTGGTGAAAAGATCAATGCAGTCTTTTAGATGAATATCTGTCGGGATCGGAACCGAACATTCGCGCTCAACTTCAGTCTTAAAACTTGAGTTATTTAAATCCTCAAAATCCATTTTACTTTTCCCGTCTTCTGATTGAAATGTTGGCTGGTTTGCCAACGAATAGTAAGGCTGCTTATACCATTAGTTTCTTCAGTAAACGGCACAAAAGCTCCGTCTTTCTCAACCAAAACCTAAAAAATCATTTTGTCCTTTTGTCTTTTCAAATCATCTTTTTTCTTTTTGGACTGCAAAGACTTTTCTCAAGATTCAAAAATCCAAGCCGATTACGCAAGTATTGCGCAAGAAGGCAGACTAGGGCGCTCTCAAATTGCAAAAGAGTAGAAGATAAGGTCCTTTGGTCTAAGCAAATAAAATAGTCTCTCTATTAAAATTAGCAAAAAGCCGAGAATTACGCAAAAGTCTAACCGTGTTCTTAAACTTTTGTTATTTTAGGAAGCCATTCTAGAGCATAGCTCTCACAACAATCACAAAGTGAACATCAGCGCCATTACAAGACCCCATTGTAAATTCTTGTACAGGGTCAAGGTGGATATGCTTTTACAACGCGGAGCCAGACCACCTGCGGCAAAGTTCCTCAAAAGCGAACAAAAATTACCTCATATTGAAGAGCTTCCTTATCTTCGTCGATAAGATTTTCTTTGAAAAACTGCCTTTTCACATATGGTAGAGCAACCGTATCAATCCAATTCCTAAAATACAAAAGTCGAAAATACCTAACCAAATGAATCTATGTGACTTACTGATTGACTTGATAGGAGTCCGAAAGGCCAAGGACTAGAGGTACTGAAAGTGAACGATTGCCATTGGCTGATTGATTCTTCACGACCACAAACGACTGGCAAGAAGGATCTGAGCAAAACAAAATCTTTTATATGTGCTACTTGCTTACCAACGATTGAAGCATAAATTGGGGATAACGACGGAAAAGTTGAAATTCTTTCTGGGTAAACATAATCTTCGCATTTAAGAACCTTCACATTGTCATAGGAGTCAAAAGTATACATAATAATCTAAACATTTCAAATGAAAAGCAAAAATCAAATAAACTTTGCCTTGGAATCATCTTCTCGAAGTCCGAAATTACCCAAAATCACGACAGTTGCATCAGCTACCGTAGTCTTCTGCGGCTTGATTTTCATAGAGAACTAAAATAATTTGATTTAAACTTCTAATACCTAATTATTTATTTCATTTTGGCACAAATTCAAACAGTGGCTGGACTTAGCCTTATACTCTCTATGTGACCTCAATGGGCTGTTTACCGGTGCATCTGCGGGCTCATTGCGCCATTCCCTGACCGTCCGTGAGGGGATCCTCCTTTACCCAGAGCTCTTTGCCAAAAAGGGCGGGACTTACCGATAGAGCCTCAGCCTCAGCCTCAGCATTCCCTTGCACTTGCAAAAAAGCTTGCTTTTTGACAAAGTGTTCGATAAAATGTCTAATAATTTGGCTATCATTCAAAGTACTCCTCCGCGCCAACGTGTGAAAGGTAACTTACTCATTGGTATATTTTAAGACTCAACGCTATGAATACTATGAATATTTCCTACTTTATCGAGATTTTAGTTACGCCTTATCTACCATCTTACATGGAAGATGGGCAGTTATGCATCGTTTGTGGCGATGTGGCAACGGGGCTTCATTACCGGTAAATTTTTCGTATTTGGACTATTTTGTAATACCGAAGGTAAAACGAAACAAAACCCAAAACGTTCAAATTCAGGGCTATCACTTGTGAAGGATGCAAAGGGTTTTGGCGCCGCACCGAACAACGACGCCTCACTTATGTTTGCAAAAATAGTGATCAGAATTGTCCCATCGATAAAAATAACCGGAACTGTTGCCAACGTTGCCGCTACAATAAATGTAAAGCTGTTGGAATGAGTTCAGACTGTGGGTTTTCTTAGAAGTATTTTCAGAAGACTTTTTTAGTGGTCTTAAATGAAACCGAACGAGCTCAGAAAAGAGAGTTGATCAAAGAAAATCGCGAGAGACGTGTTGTCGAAGACGTTTTGACAACTCTCAAAGCACCTCATTCAAATCAACAACAAAAGGTAGCTTGTAGCTGTAGATCAAACCATTACACTGTATCTAGGAAATGTTTTCTTTGATCGAAACAGTGACCCGTTCTTACTGTTCACACATAGACCTCCCGATCTTTCGGCCATCTGATATCCTTTCCGAAAAGGAGAGCTACATTGAATTGATCAGATCACTGGTTCGCCGAGTTCACGGCTTCTCAGATGGTTTTGAAGCTATCGGAAAGGTATAGGATTTTACGAAAACAAAACTTACAACTAAATTAAGCTCAATCAAATGACACAGGAATTTTTTCTGAGAGCCTCATTGCTTGAAATCCATGTTCTTAAATTTGTGACACTATTTGATCCTGCAACCAAATGCTTCCATCCATCGAAAGACGAAACAATTTATTTAGAAGATCTTGAAAACGCAATTGGCGAAGTAAGTTGCTTAAGTTCTGCTACAGGTTTAGGCTCTGAAACTGAGTTGATTTAGAGTGGAATCGAATTAGTGAAAGCAATATTTCGGATTGCTCAAGAAATCCATGATCTGCAAATGGATCTACGGCAAATGGCGGTGCTCTCGGCCATATTTTTCTTCAATCCCGATAATCACCCCGAGGTATTAAACACTCAAGAGCATTTTACATAAATATAAAAATGTTTTGCCAACGGCTTTGAAAGACAAAATTTCTAGGGTGATTCTGAAGCAACCAAATTCTATCGAAAGTTGTGGGATGCCTTCCGGCATTTGTGTGATGAAGGATATGATTCAGCAGATCCGAAAAGGTAAAGGAGAAAATAAAAGCTTACGAGTCATACTTTTAAGATGGGCCCAAATCCTTACCACTATTATGGATTTGAGAAGAGTCAGTGCTCAACTGGAAGCGCGCCTAGTTGACACAACACTTTTGAGTTTCTTCCATCTTCTACTGACCAGCAAAGGAGGGTAGGTAAGTTAAAAGAAACATACAGGTAAGTTTCAAGGTTGGGGCAAGTAACATACTTTGGAAGTTCTTTACAAGTTTGATTAATTGATAATTTGGAAATCGCAGGTCACTATGTGCAAGGTGTACAAAGAAAAGGCAGGTATTAAATGTGCAATAATACAGGGTGTTCCACCTGTATTATCAAAAAAGTTCTGCTCAGCGTGACTTTTCTCAGAATTTCTAGTGGCTTCTCGTGGCTGTTGTGGTGTCAAAGTGAATATTTTGGGCGGGCAAATTTTTGATATTTTTTTCACTTTTTCCCGATTTCCTAACTTTCCTACACATAAAATTTTTGAGCCACCACCATGAGATTTTTGCCATAAAATTGAAACTTTCTAATGGCATCGTGGTATCATATTAGAGTTAAACTGTAAACTAAGATTTATAACCAAACACTTTATCGGTTTCGAACATCCAGTGATCTCTTGTACATAGAACTCTTTTAACTCGCAATCTTCAAAGAAGCAGCCATGTTCTGCTCATGAGCAACTAATCAACAGTGTTTGGTTGAAAATCTTAGTTTGCATTTTAGCTTTGATATGGCACCACGATGCTAGTAGAAATTTTCAATTTTATGACAAAAATTTCATGGTGGTGGCAGCCAAATCACGCTGAACTGACTTTTTGTTGGAACACCCTGTAGATCGTTCTATGTTATAACAGGTATTTAATGTGCAATGATGTATAGAAAGTATTCGATTTGAAATGCAACACCAGCATAGGTGAGAAGTGAGAACCAAGTGGGGTATGAAGTGCAGGCCTGTAGCCAGGATTTCGTTGCTTTTGGGATAATCATTAGAGCTTCGTTCAGAAGCGTCTAATAAATTTACACATAAAGAAGAAAATTTAGCAAAATCTTCAGGCTACATCATGACCACGACGAAATTTTTCCAAAATAAAATTCACTCGGAAAAAATTACATTTTTTTGAGAAAATTTTGGGGGGAGAGAGGCGCAAAAAAGTCGTGACGACCCAACTTTGAGCCCCTTTAGCTTGCTCCACAAGCTTCAAATCGGATTTCAGCTCACGTTTCCTATGTAAACCAAGACGGAGAATTGATTGGCGGTGGTTAAAAGTCTCCTGGATAACGGCTAAGGGTCTAAAATTCCTGCCCCTTAAATTTTCTCACAAAAATGCAAATTTTTCCAAGTGAATTTCATTTTAGAAAAATTTTATCGTGGCCATGATGTAGCCTGAACATTTTGCTAAATTTTCTTCCTTGGGTGTAAATTGATTGAACACTTCTGGGCCAAGCCCTGAAAGATTCTCCCAAAAACAACGAAATCCTGACTACGGGCCTGATGAAGTGAGAACCAATCAATCTTTGTGTATGCAGCAAAGCAGGTATTAATGTGCAATGTTCTATAGGATTTAGGTATTTAATTTTTTTTTAATTTCAGGTTCGGTTTAGAAGCCTCTAAAGTGAACCACGGCTAATTAAAATAATTTGGATCTTTCGTTCTTCAAAATTTTAGGAGTATAGGCTGTTGATGTTTTCTCATATAAGGCCCAATAATAAAGACTTAAACTCTTTTGTAACGCAAAACACACCTGAGCCCATTTTTTTGGTGGATCTTGGATCACAATGAAATTTCGGTGTTCGATCTTTTCTCGTGGTGGCAATGGCAATGAAAGGAAGCAAATCGGGTCAAATTTGATGGAAACCTAGAATGGAAGATTTTTATTTTTCATTAAGCAAATACAATACCTTTTGACAGATAGGGCAAATCAATGTGCTTTTTATTTGCCCGTGCACCTTGTCAACGATAATACTGTCATTTCGAGCCTTATACTGCTCCCACTGCAATTGCGCCAACTAAAACAGATTTTCTTTATTGAAATTTAACGATGGTTACCTCGTCTTCCGGCTTATTGGCTGTATTTTCCTCCTCTTCGTTGTACGGTTTCTGTTTGATACGATTCAAATCTTCATGTAACCCGTCAAGGAGAAAAGCCATGAGTTCTTGTGAATCTTGTTGAGCATAACCACTGAAACGAGGCGCAAACGTTCCAATCGTCGTCTAAAACACGGCTTGAAAAAAAATCCAATTTGGCCAACTTTTAGATGACGAGGGATCACAGATGAATTTTCTCCACTCCACATATTTTTGATCAGCTTTCCGTAGGCGCGTGCAAGTTCTCCCTCTTAAAGATTCCAATTAAAGTACTTCAAGTTTTCTTACGAGTTCCGAGCGGATTCCCCTCATTGATCTCCTCCAAGTGTTTCTCTTGAAAGAAGTATTCAGTTATTGGAGGTACGTTGGATAAACATTGAATGGCGGATGCCATAAAGCAAGTGTTGCCTAAAAATTAAGTAAATACCTGGCTCAATGTTGCCTGACTAAACTTACCAAGATTTTGTAGACCACAGACGCCGGGGATTTGAGATGGTAGACGAGAGTAACTAAAAAATAATTATAAAATTTATTTTTTTTTGTTGATTGTTATCCCTTTAGTGACAAAGCAAGATAGAGTTAGCGCTGAAATCTTGTCGTTTCCCACCAAGATTTATTTTGTAAAAGCCTGTTATCCATCATATAAGTATCGAAAGATTTAAAACTTAAAAGCTTTGTCACCTGACGGATAACGGACCTCTTAACAAAATCCTTGGAGAGAAACGAACCTGGAATTTGATTTGAGAAATCCACCAAAAACATAGTTAAAGAAGTTTGCAAATCGTTTTAAGGAAGTTGGTATTGGTAACTTCACAGAAAAGGGAGCCAGCAATTTGTAGAAGACTCCCATCAAATAAATAATGAGATACGGAATCCAGCGTGCTCCAGCGGAACTAATATGCCATTAAAATTGAAAGTTTTACAGTTAATTAAGCATTATTTGTTTTGAAGGTGCACACCAACTAGAATTGTTAGATGTGCAAAACTGCATTCGGAAAAATCGTGCATCCATAAAAGGTTAAACACTCTTTTTACCTTGAGCTTCCATTGATTGATGATCCATTAGAGCGATTGAGGGATTGTTGAATAAATCCAACGCCTTTGTCATCCAAAACATCTACCAAAACCTGGAGCAAAATAATTATGAATGACTCGTTAAACAACTTTAAACGAACCAATTGATTAAAAGAGAAGAAATGCTCGTAGCTATGCTTCATATCAAGAGTTAACAGCTCGTAACGATCATTTTCCTAAAACTCGTACAGTAAAATTTCTTGTAAAGAACCTTACCTGATGATAAATGTAAAACCGCAATCTGTTGTGGGGAATTTTTTCCACACCAAGAGCCTGAACGGCTTTTGCACTCAGAGTTTCTAAAGTAAAATGTAATTCGAGTGCTCACGAAGTGCTTGTTCAAGAATTACAAAAGTACTTACTAACGTTATCCTCCATCGAAACCGGTAGAACCGCTTTAACATTTCGATCTCGTGCAAGAGCAACCTATAATCTTTTGCAAAATGAAAACTTCTTCAAACCAACGGTGAGAAATTTAGCATAAACTTCAATGAAGAGATCTCCCCGGACTGGATTCAATTGAACCTTTCGTTGTATTACATCACGGTTTTCATCTTCTACCCCAAATTCATTGAGCAATAGATTAAAGGTCTAAAGAAGAGCTTTAGCTAACAGTAGAATAGATTTTACCTTTTGCGGCAGGAGCATGTAATCCAATTTCTCGACAAGATGGGGTTTCAAAAAATAATGGCCATCTAAACCATAAGAGTTCTTGGGTATGCTGGTAACAAAAAAGTTACCCTTCATTTCAGAAACGCTAGCATTCTCAATTTTTGGCACATCTTCAACAAAGCCCTTGTTAAGCGCCAATGTCAGTTGTTTCCACCATTTCATTGCAACCACATACCTAAAATTTAATTGGTTTCGGAATAAAAATATACTCACACCATTCATCATTTAAGTTTAAAGGGCAATTGTCGACTTCCTCGATTGCATTCTGTAGTTCTTCTCTTGTGATTTTCTCTTTCGGGCTCATTGAACCTTCTGCTGGGTCCTTTGCTTGCTCACATTGAGTCATTGCACAGCTCTAAAGACAAAAATCATCAATGAAAGTTATGGAAATAGCTGAGAGAGACATGAAAATTAAAAAGACAAGAAATTGATGCTAGTTTGCTCATTAACGTTTGTCGAAAGCTCTTACCCTTACGACTGCATACATAACAAAATTAATTGAATGACTATGAACACCTTTAGTGCGCCGAGCCACAGTAAACAATCATCGCGGGAGGACCCGCAAAAGCCGGGGTTCGTCATGACCTAGATGGGTTAAAAACTCCTCATAAGCGCCCAGCCCGCAAACTTGTTTATAATCTGTTCTTTCATTTCAGAAACCTTGGCATGTTATCTATGAAAGCGCTTTTCAGGATGCACTTTCCGCTTGTGTTCCACCCAAATAGCCCTAACTAAAAGAGATTAGCGCACGGAAATGCGAAGGATTTTTCAGTTTGAGCGGACATACATATACGAGATAAAAGGTCGTACTAAAAAGTGATTCTAGCCGTTGGAACGGATTATTTATACTGGAAATTTTGCTATTACAGTTTACGATCGAATAGCCATTTTTCTGCTGGTCCCTTATTTACCGAGCGTTTTTGTTTAGCAATTTCATTCTCATCTTTTCTCCTAACTTATCTAAAGGCGAAACTAACTCGTTAATAGAAGGAATTTTAGGAGAAAGTGGAGTATAAATTTTTTCGAGAATGTCTTCACCGCCAGGTCCGGGAGGAATCTCTGGAAACGTACGCCATCAATCTCCACTTCTATCACCATGTTCACCCCAAACTGGTCTACCAATACAACAACTTTTCTCTGGAACAAGCACAGCCACTGCCTCCCCAATTCTCTCCCCTAGAAGGTTGGGTTCAGTTATACATTTATTGAGATAACGAACTGATTTAGGCTTACAAACACGCTTCTAATGGTGCATCTGCCGTTTGGTTTGCATTCAAAAGTAGAAGTGCGGACGGGAGAAACAGCTCGTGATGCAATTTCGAGGGTATTTAGATTTTTATATTAAAATAATCTTTGAACTTGTAGCGTTAGTCTAACTGCTTTATAAACAACTTTAGGTTTTGCGAAAGCGGTGCATACAACCGTCGTTTTGTCATGTTAGCAGCTCGCCAAATCCACGAGATGAACGTTTGGATCTTCAAGTACTGTCTCAATTTGTTTACTTGCTTTAAAAAATGTTTTAGGAAGAAATGGAATCAATTGCAAGTCGCCTTCCCAAAAAGGAACTTTGGGTGCATAGTGAGTACCTGGACACAATTAGCCGCATCGAGCACACTTTTCAGAGGTAACTCTTTAGTTTTTATTAGTGTTAACTGAAATCTAGGAAAACTTTCATTCCACCCCAAACATGCGATGCTTGCAAAAGGCAGATGTGGATTGTAAGAGTCCTCTCTTTTTTTTTGTCTAATTCCTTTTTAGGCGTATCGGTGCGAATATTGCAATGTAAAGTTTCATCAGCGTTGCAGCTCGAAAATTCCCATTTACTGTGATCTTCTACAACGTGGAGGAGAGGTTAAATAAGTATTAGTTTGCAAAACATTTTAATTTAGGAAATTTTCAACAAACTGAGAATTCTATGCACAAACAGCAATAACGGACAGTTAGCAGAAGAAATATTGACCAAATTTGTTGAGCCCACATCACCGTCAGTACAAGTTCCACAACATAGTCCAGGAGAGCGTGAGATTCAAAGGTAGTATTTTGAAAGGTTCTTTTGTAATTTAATTTAGAAAACGAGCTGTGAAACGCACACAAGCGCCAAATGTTGCAAGCATCGTTTCGCCAGCTAATCCATCATTACCAACTGTACCATATCCACGCGATCGATCAAGTTCGGCACCGAATATCAACGCCATCAATGAAGAGAATGCTAGTTTTGAAACTGAGGTAGTACGAATCTTGGTGCATTGTAACTAATTTTCCAATGAACTAATTGATATTATTTCTTGCTTAACTTCCACGCCCCATTACTCCAAGTCTACAAATGTTTTTAAGCGTATTATGGCCGACCTCGAAAAGCGTGATGACGTAAAGATTCCAAGTTCTTCGCGTATTCAAACTGGGGCTCAGCGTCGTCTTGGGAATCGGTAGTTTTAACTTTTTGATATATCATTGCCGTCTTATAGCCTCCAAGCTATGGGCGGGTCTCCTTGTTCCTCGACATCACCTTCCTCTACTTGCTCTTCACCACCGGCCCATTCTTTACATCCATCGCACCTATTTCCAAATGCTATGCCTTTAACACCGCCCCAAAGTGCGCCACCACAAAAGGTTTGCACTACTGTATGATTTCGGGTTCGCGGTGAAAGAATACAACGACATTTTATTAAGTAGAATTTCTTTCTTTTTCAGGTCTCTATTCACTTTTTCCGAGGTCGGAGTAAGAGCCCGGGAGACAAGCTTGATGTTATTTCAATCTTGGGGAGGCCAAAATCAAAGAAAGTTCTTGAAGAATGGGAGGTGAGCATCAGGTCTTTTAAATATTACTATTAGAATTTTTAAGATTGATGAAAGCCAAGTAACTCTGCATTGCAAAGTTGGATCGGGCTCGTTTGGAACCGTATTCAGGGCTGAGTACTTTGGATTGGTTGCTCTCAAACGATTGAATGTGGCTGAGCCAAATCTTTCGCAGCTACAGGCTTTTAAAAACGAAGTATTCGTACTTATTTTAAAAAGTGACTTATTTCATTTAGGTTGCGCTCCTGAAAAAAACTCGTCATCCAAATATCTTGAACTTTATGGGATGGATCAGAGAACCTCAATTGGCAATTGTAACTCAATGGTGCGAGGGCAGCTCGCTTTACAAGTATAAAAATATTAAAACAAATTTCAGCATCTAAAAATTTAGACACATACATTGCATTGAGCCTCGGAAAGAGTTCGAACTTCAAACAGTTCTGGATATTTTTAAACAAGTGGCTCTTGGAATGAATTTTTTGCATAGCAAGCGGATCATTCACAGGTAATTCATAATGCTTTTTGCCTCTACAAATTTTTACAGAGATTTGAAATCTAACAACATCTTCTTAACTGATGACTCGACTATCAAAATTGGAGACTTCGGACTGGCAACTGTTAAAACAAGATGGAGTGGGACGCAACAAAATCAGCAACCAACTGGTTCAATACTTTGGATGGTAAGTGCTTGGATTCAGTTATGCTTTTGAAGATACACTTCCTTAGGCGCCTGAAGTGATACGAATGCAAGATCAAAATCCATACACTAACAAGGTATGTCTCATTGTCAGCAAAAATTAGGAATAAAAAATATTTAGAGTGACATATACTCGTTCGGTGTGGTAATGTACGAAGTTCTATCTGGTCAATTGCCGTACACAAATATCAATAATCGCGATCAGATTTTGTTTATGGTAAAAAAATTGAGAAATTTTTCAGTACTATTTTTGAATCTTAGGTTGGCCATGGATTCCTTCGACCTGATCCATCGAGGATACGGCCTGATTGCACCCGAGCGCTGCGGGAATTGTTTGAACGATGTATTAAGCTTAACAGAGATGATCGGCCGGAGTTCGGAGAGGTTCGATCTTAAATTTTTGGCTTTATAGCATTTTGTCGCACATATTTCATCCATTTAGTTGAGCAACTCTTTAAAAGACATCGCTTTGCCAAAACTTTCTTGTTCAACTTCGATGCCTAATCTTCATTTTGGTGGTGGAGGCAACAGTTCTGACCGTGAGCATTCTTTTACTAATGTTGACTAGTGTGAGTTTTAGTTTCGATTCATGGTCGAGATGATTATGCATTGCATCGGTTCAACGATACACATGCTCTCAACACTACGCATATTGGACACATGGTCTAATGGTTTTTTGTGTTTTTTTTTTATTTGGACGGTTTTTCCTTCTAGAGCTTTATTGTCGAACCCTTCAAGTGACAAAACGTGTACTTACTAATCTTAATATGCCCTCTTTTTGACTAACCTATCTTGACACGATTTACTAAAATATGTAAGTGTGCTTAAATTGTGATACGCACAACTTTTCTAATCATTGCTTTCCTGAAATGTGAGATTAATTTGTTGATGTGATGGTTAGTTGTTAGCACTAATTCTTGAATTAGTAGAAAGTTGTACTATGCTTACAACCTAAATGTAGCATAGAATTTTTTAAGCAGTAATTTGAGCATTGTACTTTTTATACTGATCATCTTTTGCATTACTAACTCCATTTAGACATGTTGATATCTTAAATCTTGATCCCAGAAACAGTATCGCTATGAGTTGTCCAGTAAAAATTGTCAAGCCTGGATGTTTCTATAATACCGTTCTTCTTTGCTATTTGAAGGTTCCTGCTGTATCATGTACATCTGTGAATGTTTTAATCGGCTTAGGTTGTGTTTATTGTTCTCAACATTTCATGTCTGGTGTGACGTGGGGGTTTATGCCCGCCCCATTGTTTCCTACTCTCCCCAACTTTTTAGTTTGTTGTGATTTTATAAGTTGTTCATGAACTTGTATGATATTTACTAGACTCTCATTCTTTAAGGCATTCTTTAAATTCTCCCGTATCCTATCATATTTTGTAACTCATTCCTAACTATCGGGTAAATAAATTTTCTAAACTTTTTTTTGCGGCCAAAAGTTAGAACGCACGTGCAAAAGCGAAAACGATTTTTATATGTTAGCTCTTTTATCTATTCAGTCAATAACTTTAAGATGGATGTTGAAATTCAATTTGAGAATCTTTTATCAAATTTACATCAGCTTGAAAAGTTTGTTGATCGTCCAGAGCTTGGGACTAATTATGTACTACCCACGGTTGAGGTATATAACAGACATAGTAATTGCGTTTATTGCGCTCTTTCAGATCTTGCTGAATGCTGCAAAAATTAACGCTGAAATATTTCTCTCTAAAGCGCTCCAGCAAAAGTTGTGGAAAACAATAAAGTTGTTGATAGATGATGTATCACAAAACTCGAAGGATAACAATAGAAAATACGTGAGTGAGTTTAATACGCTATATTTTTGAGACAGTGCTTGAATTAATTGCTTTAGTGGTTGGTTTCTATTCAAAATAGGAAATCAAATAAGCGTTACTAATATAATAGTTTGCATTAGAACCTAATCAATGTTTGCAACATGGCACTTTGTTGGCTTGTCGATTTATCGTTGCTTGTCCAAACCGAGTGCGGATTTCAATTTTCTGCGGCACCTATGTTTTTGGTGTAAGTGGTTTTAACCGGCCCGTTTTAAGATTGAAGTTTTAGAGCAAACAAAGCATTATATGTTCCATACCCTCAACGATTGTCATCTTCGTACAGAAGACGATTCGAATCCTTTATATGTTTGCGAGTTGGAGATCTATTTCGATATAAGGTTTGTTTTAATTTTGAGCACATACGATTTAGATTTAGTCTGAACACGATACAGCTGATCGACTCTACGCTGCATCGGTTAGTGCCATTCCATTCATAGGAGATGCTTGGAATCAACGAGGACTAGTTGCGATGTTACGGTAAGATGCGAGGACGATTTTAGCTCTTTTCAACAATATTGAGAAACTGTTTAGTGGTGATACTTTGTCGGCTTTGTACTATCATTATCGAGCGATATATTGTAAATTTCCATTTCTGGCTGCTTCATCGAATATTCAAAGGATTCTCGAAAAATACTCTAATGAAGGTAAGGTTCTTATTTGCAATAATAAACATCAATCTAGTGGTCGTTGTAAAATCCTCATACGACGAGCGCTACTTGCATGCCCTTTCTTATTCGCACTTTGTAAGTAAATTACAATAAAGCGTTGGCCTAATTAAGCAAAATTCAGTTGTTTCCAATCAACCGAGAAATTATCGATAGTTTGATCAATGAGGTGGCTAGTAAATTGAAAAATAACTTACGAACTATTTTTAGAGTATCTCCGTTGAACGTCTGACCTGTTTCATTTGTGTCCTTTCCGAACTTGGAGATTCTAAAGACGAAAAAGGGATTTCTGACACTATTCAACATCTGATCGATGGTATTATCGACTTTATTGCCACAAAGGTAGTGCTTTTTGTGTGTTTTATCAATTGCACCTTAAGGATTCGTGCTCCCAAGAAGACTTCTTGACTTTGGCACTCTGTCTTCGCGTTTGCTCGCAAGAAGTTTTACAAAGCAAAAATGTCGATTGCCTCATGCAAAAATTGAAGGAAAAACAAGTATCAATCGAAGATGTTCACCATTTACGTTGGTAAGAGTATTTTTATTTTTAAAGAATTTGGATCTTTAGTCTGTTATCCTTCGACAATCCGCTACCTTATCCGCTTAACTCCACTGATATATTGAATGTGTTGAGCGCAATTCGAGATGGTACTCAAAGGTATTGATTATTGATTCTTCAAATATCCTTCCCCGTCCAGATATGAATACTCATAAATTTTGGTTCAGGAACAAAATTCCATTGCCGCTAAAGGAAAATGAATCAGCACTAGCAATCAAGGCAACTACAAACAAATCAAGAAAGCCTGATGTTAGTGTGGAGCCCTTCAAGAATGAAGAAGGAAAAGACTACAAATCGATTAATCAGCTTGACGATAATACGCAAGGAGGGTCTCGGCGAGTGTTTCATGAAGAGTTAGAAGGTATCCTATTTCTCGTAATCCATTGGTTTTTATATACCTAGGTGTTAGCAAGTCAAAAATTTCCGCCATGACTACAAAGTTTTTAGATGTTATTGATCTTCCGTGCTCTTCCGATGAGGAAATTGAGTGAAAGCGATGAAAAAAGTCAATAACACAAGAGGAAATTGGTCAATAACGGGTTCAAAATTTTTTTTTGTAAATTTCTATCGCTTTCACTATTCACTGATGGTCGTTTTGTTTATCGATGGGTGCACATGTACAATAATTTAAAAACTACTTGAAACTTGTCAATCTTGTGGTTTTTTTGAACATTTTGCATTGTCTATTTTTTGTTTTTATGTTTTTGTTATCACTTGTTGTGTCACAAATTCACTGGAATATAAAAAGTTTCTTTGATTCAAAAATTTTTATTTAGGTTGGATTCCAAAAAGAAATTCCTAGAACATTTTTGCTGCACTTTAACTCTTTTACTTTACTGGGAGAAAAATGTGTGGGGGGTGTCGAGTGGTGGGGGCCATCCGCGTTATTGACGTTCTGCTTTTCAGTTGAGCAAATAAGAGGGATCAGCTTTCAACTCGTTGGTGGTGGGCCAGTTGGGTTTCGCGCATTTTGCACAAAATTGTTCTCCCAAGACTTCCTCCCGTGCTATGCCCCCATTTTGCATCGATTGGTGCATAAAAACAAAAAATCTTGGTCGTTTTTTCGTGCCATTTGTGAGTGAGTGTGTGAAAAGGCGAAGGAGAATCTCTTCTTTTCTCGAGTGGCGCCTCTCTCCGTCGCGCTTTTCTTTTTGTCTGTGTGTTGGCCGAGTATTGCTTTGGTGGTAATTACCCGAGAGCAGCTCCCCCTTTTGAGTTTTACGTCTTTTACCGCCGCGTATGCATATCGGGGACCAGTGGAGTGGAGGGAGCGAAGAGGGGCTGCTGTTGCCAGGGTAGGAAATTGATTCGTACTCGGCCACGCGTGAGAGTTACCATTCACAAGCTGCCTTGGCTCTGTGTGTATGTGCTCGCCGATTTCTCACCACACAACTCCCATAAATTATTGTCTACAGAGTATCATTTCTATTCTTTAGTGGTATTTCTGGACGACCGTACAAAAGGAGGGATGAATTGGCGCTTCGATTTACTTTCCTATTTTTTCGGCAGTGCCAAGAAACAACAGCGACGCTTGGAGGAGGTCCTTGCCTTGTCCTGGCTTCTCTTTTTTGTGTGCTATCCCTCTTTTTCACATCTTCTTTAGCCCCTTCTTGTTCTTTTGCGAACCTAACTCGATTTCAATTTGAGGGCGAAATCCCGGCCATCCATGGGTGTGTGGAGTTTTTTATACAGAGAACCCCTTACATGCACAAAACAACTAACCTGAACTTGAAAAAAATGGGCGCGAGGACTTGCTTCTGAATTTCAAACGCCTTTTTCTCACATTGTTCCTTTTTTTTCTTTGTCTATGGCCTCCCCTCATTGATGAGACCTGTTTCTCTCTCGTTTGCCCACTATTCCTAGGACATATCTTTTTGAGGAAAAAGAGTGCCAGACAAAAAACACACACATAAAACTCACTCTCCATTAATCCTTCTACCAAAAACGGGGGCGTTTGAGGCGAAATTGCTCTGAATCTCCTTCTAATAATATTATTGGACGATTTTTCTATAGAAGGATTTTCAGCGAATGGCATCCGCTTCTTTGGCAATGTCTTCTTCCCCAACCACGTCTGGAGAAGGATTTGAGCGTCCCGATTTGGCATCAAAGGCATCTGGTATTTTTTAAATTTATTAATTAAATTAGCTTTGTTTTTAGGTGCCATTTTGACTCATCCATCTTCTACAGATGTTGCTTCTATTGTGAACTTTTTAATGGATCATTTTGTGACCAACGAGCCAATTCTTTCGAGCCTCAACATTACGAATACGTGAGTGGAATTTTAACTTTATTTACGAGAGCTCTTTTTAATATAAAATTTTAAAACATTTTTGAAGGTCACATTTTAGGCGGGAGCTCAATATTCTTCTCAATGATCTCGTAGCTGACTCGATTGGTTGTTCTGGTACAATGGTGGCACAGAACAATGAACATAACGAGGTTTGATTTTCTAAAATGTTGTTTTCAAAAACTTTTTAGTTGATAGGCGTATGCTTGTGTAGCCGGCATAATCTTCTTGATCAGCAGGTTTGTTATTATAATTTTGAATGATTTTTATGAGTTTATTTATTTAATTTTCTTCTATAGTTAGCTATTTACCTACTCAATCATCAAATTCTAAATAGTTTACTTTATTGATGATTATTTTTATTAAGCTCGACCGCCTATGTGGCTACTCCTTCACTGACCCGGGTCTCTCAATTGCCATTGAGTTTCTCAAATATATTTTCAATCGGTTTGTTAAATTATTAAAGTTGGCATAAATTTTATTTTAGAGTTGACGTTGCTTATCATTTGGAAGAGTCTAATGTCTCAAGGCCAGTTTTTGTCGTTCTTGTTTGCGTCAAGCCGGAATATCAATTGGGTGGCCTTGGAAAACGGTTGATGAAAGAAAGGTATTTTGCTTGTGATATTGAATATTTTAGGGCTATCGTCATGGCTATCGTATGGATAATAACGTAAATATTTAGCCTTGAATCAGCTCGCGCGTCTTCGGACCGGTGCGATTCTGCTTTTACGATTTGTACATCTGAGTCGGGTCAAGCATTGTATGCTCAAACCTTCCGTCAAGTGGTGAGCATTTTATTGATCTCAAGTGTAATTTTTTCAAATCTTTTCGGGATGTTTGTCATTTTTAAAAATTAAAAAAGTAAAAAATAAAATTAGAACACTCAGTCAAAGAAAAAAATGCTGTCAAACTTAAAATTATAAAAAGTTTATTTTATGCAATTTTAAATGTTTCTAATAATTATAGCTATAGGGTTTAGTCTTCAAAGTTGAGTGATACAAAGTGATAATGGTATTTTTTAGCTTTCACGGGTCAAATACAGTGATTACCGAGGAGAGTTTCGCGATCCTCCAATTCAACCAAAAAATGCCACATCGTTGCATGTTCTTCTGGCCAACCTATGAAACAATTAACTGTCACGAATTTTTTACGAAAAGTAAGTATTAGCTTTTCTGGTCAAAATTTATTTGTTTTTGCTTTATACCGGTGATCTCCAAAATTTAATCGCGTCACTTTACAGCAAATTGTTGTGATCCGCTTGATGAGTGTTCTATTTCGTGTCAAATTTTCACACATTGCCAAGTGTTATAAATATTTTTTTAATAATGGGCAATAGAGAAGTGGAAGAAGTACTACGAATCAAATGCAAACTGTAAACTTTTGCGCAAAGTCTAAAACTAATTTTGTCTCACCTTGTAAGTCGACTAGCAAAAGAGAACAGAAATGTAAAAGAAGCAGTTGTGATTCCATAAACGAAACATCCTTATAATCTTGAAACGTTTCAAGATGAGTTCATCGTGTATTCTGATCTTATTACTTTTGTTAGCATTTTTTTCCTCTATTCAAGCGAATCGTTACTAATTTGGTTGTATAAGTTCATGAATAAAAAGGGAAACTGTAGGGTACAAAAGCAAAACTCTCCTCTAGAAAAAGCTGCAAAAAGAGCAAAAAGGGAATGGTTGTGTTTTGTTTGGATTTTATGTGTTTTATCAGATGAAAAAAAATCCGTGAATGGCTTCTTTCCACTTACCGAATGATGGATTGTGGAAGAGGTGGGGTTAAAGCGACAAAAAGGGCAATATTTGCTAAATTAAATTCTCCTAAAACATATCTATCATTCAAATTTGTATGAACCATTTATAGGTAGCAGTGGACTGACTCCTCAGAATGAGCTTGATAAGTAGTTTTGATTATTATATTATAAAAATCTGTAAAATTAAACACAATAAATGGGTATTGGATTGTAATTGGTGAAAAGTGCAGAAAAGAACGGAGGATAATGAATGGCAAAAAAATTTATTGAGTACATTGCATGGCTTCTATATTTCCTATTTTTTAGCTCTCGTGGTCTTTCTAATTCTTTAGACCTGTGCTAGCTGAGTGAGAATTTGAAAGGCGGATCGGAGATCCTCGTCGGTCGTTTGCTGAGCGCCGATTGCCATACGGAAATAGAAGTCTCCATGCGTCTACAAAATTGCTTATAAATTTGAACGATAATCTACAGCGTAGATTCTGCACAGCTTACATTTTTTCATCACTAAACTCTAGTCTTAGTTCTGTTTCACTTACAATCGACGGAGTGATCATTAAACGGCGATCTTCATCAATCAACTTCTTCAACTTTTCGTTTTCTTCATTTGTTGACTGAAATATTGTTAAACTTTTAAAAGTTTGACCGAAATATTACTTTAATCAAGAAGCAGTTTTAAATCTTAATTTCACAGATCCTTACATTCTTGAGTCGAAAGCAAACAAGTCCTAAATGAGGCGGAACAAACATTTCAAAGAGATCCGATTTTTCGATCAAATCGGCAAAGAAAGTGGCCTGGGCACATCTCTGGAAATATCTCTGGAAATAAATCTATATTCATTGATAAACCTTTCTCAGGGAATCTCCAATTTTGTCCACTCCAATCAACCTCATCACAAACCAGAGTTTCAAAGAGCGAAACCGTCGACCAAGAGCGATTTGAAGATGCTACAAGAGATGAATTTAGAGATTAAAAAAAAGCTTAAAAAAAGCTTAAAAATCGCTTAAACATTTCATATTATTAGATAAGAATTTACTCTGAAATCAATCGTTTTATCTTGATGTTCATGTCGAAGGATGTCGATGTCGACATTGAAATATCGAACAGCCGAACGGGCATCGGTGAACCTCAAAGGGTTTTTGTAATCAGTATGCAGTAAGTCGTTATTGTTATCCAGATTAGTGAAAACTTTGATGTTATTCATAAAAAAAACAATTACCACATGGGACTGCAATCAAAGTTGACCATCATCGATTTGTGAGCGTTGTAGTTGAAAGAGTCGACCGAGTCGAGCCCTACCCCGAGATATGATGAGAACTCGGGACAGAGGAGAAATGAGCCTATAGTTGGATGTCTTCAAATCAAATATATAAAAGAGTAATGTCCTGTCCGTCTGTACCGGCTTTTTCTCAGTCGTCTTTGGGCCAAAAAAAAACAAATTTTCTAAACAGCACTACGGCGGGTCGAACCCGGTGGGCTGTAGTTGAGCGCGCTCGCGACTGCGCCACGGTGACATGAGGCAGGGAAGCTTGTAATGATGTAAAATGAATCTCTCATGAGTTCCCATGAATTCTCACCGGCGTATGCTGCATCAACGTGTAGCCAAATTCGCTCTCGTTGGCAAGTTTTGACCAAATCCTGAAAATATTTCAATTTCACATCTCAGCATTGCAGGGATGGATTGATGGACTTAATCGGACCCAAAATCTCAAACTTCAACATGATCGACTCCACATGTGCCCGTTGTCCCGATTGTGGCGACAAACAGAAATGGGGTTCTGCCCAAGGCTCGATCTTTCTAAAACATTCTAGAATTTGTCAATCTTTTGGGTTTCTTTCACTTTAATGGCTTCCTCAAATGTTTTAGCGGTGACCGCGTAATTGCCCAATTTCGCATCGCGTTCACTCTTCAGCTTTCTCACTTTCACCCCGCTCAACATAGCCGCTTTGAAAATGGCGGAGTGTGCCTAAAACATTGGTCTCAAAGTGTCAGTGTTGTGCTTTAACACAACACATAGATGACCGCGTGACTCCAATGCTGAGTCACGACACGACCATTCTCGTGAATGGGTTCAAAATTCGCAAGAGCATCTAAATTTGAGTCCTCTTTTCGAATCTGACGTTAGTTTTATTAGAAAGTTGTGTGATTTTTTTTTGTAAAAAGCTGAAAAACCGGGCGTTACCCCGAAATCTAAATTTAAAGCCTGGGTTCGGATTCTAGACTTTTTTAAGAAATTTCAAATTTATTACCAATCCTGGTCCAAATCGAATGCTTCGCAAAAGTCACGCGGTCATCTATGTGTCGTGTTAAAGCACAACACTGACACTTTGAGAATGTGCAGTCGTAATGTGTTAAATGTTAAAGTTTGTTTTTGTTTTACAGCTTTTAGAACTATTTTGTCCGATACCTGATCCGAGCAATAAGCGATGAGTTTGTCAAAATTCTTGGGCGAATGCAGTGGATGGGTGAAGATTTCTGGGTCATCCTCTGTTTCGTCGGTGGGCTCATTTTCGGATCCCGTTAGATTCTAAAAGAAAATGAAATTCAAACCGAATTTCCTTTCGAGCTTTACCCATTCAACAGCTCGTGCTCGCGCGGCCAAGAAAGCGATAAAAGTCGAATCGGAGGAAGTTGACTAAACGGGGAAATTGTCTCTTAGAATTTGCTATTGTTGTTCTCACTTAAAGAGCTCGCAAACCTGTATGATCCCACAGCCTGGTCCCGAATGTGAATGTTTCCATTTCTCGGGTAAATGAAGCGCTTCCACAAGCCAATCAAGGACCACAGCCTCTAGCTCGGACATTACGGGACTGGATTTCTAAAAAATCAATGCCTGCTAGTCTTGCAAATAGATTTATTGTACCCAAGTGAATCCGACTCCCGACAGTCCACCACAAAGGAGATCGGCAAGGAGGGATGGAGTGGATTGAGCGAAGGGGAAATATCCATAAAAATTCGGGTGCAACCAGTTGGCGTGACCCGGTAGGATTGCCTGTAATAGTAACTCGAAATAAAATTTAAAGAGAACAGATTTTACTTTCTCAATATCCTCAAGGACGGTTTCCCAAGACTCCGGGGAATCAGGTGGTGATGAGGGAACCTGGGAATTGTTAAATGTTAGCTTTCGACAAGTCAAACCAAAGCTTCGAGATAATTGGGTAAGACATCCGGTTGAGGGAAACGATCACGTTGGGTTTCTAGAAAGGTATGATTATCGTCAGAGTTTTATGACAATTCATAAAAACAAAACTTTCTGAGGCATACCCCAATAATTGGCAATCATTTCGAGAATCTCCGTTCCTCTATTCACCAATTCTTTCGAATCCATTTTAGCTATAGAAAAATACGAATTTTGTTGAGTCTGTATAAAAATGGAAGCCGAATACCGTCACAAAGTTCAATGCAGAGATAAAGGTCATAAAATCACGCAAAGCTTTTTTCCAAAACTGATAAATAAGGCTGAAGCTTAGGTGTGTGTAATTTATAACTGTTTTGTTTTTTTGCAAGGATAAAGTGATCAATTTATTCATTTCTTATACAACTCTATGTGACCAGGTCAAAACTGATGTAGCTCTGCTTGCCACATCATTCAAATCGATCAAACCCTTCGTTTTTATGTACAACATTTTTCTGAGCGGGTAATACGTTGAGGTCTGCACGTTGACGTTAATCTGAAATTGAGAGTCTTTGATCAGAAGCGCTATGGTCGACTGGAGCCGACTAAGAGCGACTAAGAGCCCCGCCTTCTAGTCTGGGGTCGATCCCATTTCAAGGGTTCAATCCCGTCGGTCAGAGAGTATTGATTCCTTTTCCCATATAGGCTTTTTTTCTTTCCTACATTTAGGACTTGTGCTTGTGTATTGTTTGTTTGTTTTTATTATTCGTGTGAATAAATGCATTTTTAAAAAACACTCACCGATTTTCCATTCCATATGAACGAGTTGAAGTCCGGGTAATACTCATATCCGAAGATCTCGATAATGTCCAAAGTCGGGAGGGTCAACTGAATCGATTCATTGTTTTTTTTTGGCAGTTTTCATTCTCACATCCATTTTGTCATTGGTGACAAACGTCAACTTGGCGGCTGTGTCACCCGTTGAATAGTTGAAATTGAACGAGAAATGGGGATTCTTTGTGATATCATCAAAAAGAGTGACTCCATCATCGTAGAATAACTCTCCAAATGATGGCTGAGCATTTGCGGCTAAGAATATTGAAAAATGAATATTATTTAATTTTTAATAAAAAAATAAATATTAAATTTTTTTTTTTTAAATTTTATAATCAATTTAACGCGTTTTAAACCCCTTTTTTTTTATCGTATTTCTAAATATTAATATTACCATTGTGTAGCCCTTGAAAAGAGCTTTCAGAAAATGTATAACACTAATAGTTTAAACTCAAAGACAAGGGAGTTACAGACGCGCGAAAGTGACGATCGTTTTTCAAATATCATATTTCATTGTCCAGTACTTTACTTATGGTCAGAAATAAAGGAGTGCTGAATTTGCTGAATGTTGTGAAAAAATGTTAAACGAAATTGTTCCAGGAATGTTTTGTAGTTTGTAAATCGTAAAGTTTCCATATTCTCACCAACGGCGATGAGCATTTCAAAGGGATTTTGCCGTGACGAAGTCGTTGTCGTTGTTGGCGTCTGTCGGGGAAGAATTGAGCCACCTAGAAGAATTGAATTTTAGTTGATATCTGTCATCTATTCAAACATATCACAGATTCATTCGTACTATTTCCTTATCTTTCTACCTTTCTTTCTCTTCCTTTTCCTTCCTATTTCTTCTTGAGCAAACAAGGCGCCAATAGCTTAGTGGTAGAGTATCTGTGTGGTAAACAGAAGGTCAAGGGTTCAATTCCCCTCGGTTCCAAATTCTTTTTCATTTAATCAGTTTATCTCACCTCTCACAAAGACGGGCGTCAACGAAGTGGTGGCAGCGTTGACTGTGTTGTATCCAACTGGCATCTGAAAAAGAATACTTATTTGGTATGTTTCTGAAAAATATTTCGCTAAAAGTTTTGGCATTATTTAGAAGATATACCTGATTTCCATATGTTTCATCTTGAAGCGAATACCAGCGATCAGCTGGGAAATAAGCGCGCACGGTGGTGACTCCCTGAAAATCAATGCATTCTTGAAACTTGACTCTGATTCAATCTTAACTTTTTAAATAAAACATTTTACCGGATCAAGTGCCGGTGCAATCATCAATGCAGAACCCCACAAAAATTGTCGATCAATGGAAAAGATCTCGGAGTCGATGGGAAACTCGAAGAAAAGCGGACGGACGACCGTTGAGCCGGTGAGAGAAGCACGGTAGTGGAGGCTAAAGGTTCAGGTATTCGCTTAAAACACAAGGAAATGATTATGATCACCTGTATAAGTATGGAAGATATTGATAGCGGAAAGTGAGAGCCTGCTTGGCCGCTTGAGCCACCGATGGCCACACAGCTGGGTCTTGTGCTGGGTCTCCCTAGAAAGGTTTAGTTATAGACCTACGTATAACCTGTTTATAATCATAATAATCTACATAACCTTAAACTTTATATATAAACTGTTTATGATTGAAAGCTTTGCCTGCGTATTGTGATTTCGCGAGAACGAGTGGAAAGCGCCCATTTGATGCCATCGGAGACAGAGTTCTTCGGTTGTTGGACCTAAAAATGTTCCGGTTTCGGTTTAAATATTTTTCAAAGCACAATAAGCCAGCTATTTAGCTCTCACTCTCACTAGCTATTTAGCTTTTTTTATATTCAAAATATGAAGCAGTAAAAAAAAAACCATTGAATCCGCAAATATCCGAGCCGACGTACGGGATGCCGAACATGTTGAACTCCATCGCTCCTAAATGTTAAACTCATACGATTTTAATAGATCTATATTTAAGATTTAAGATATTTTGTCGAAATTTTGTGATTTCTTAGTTTTCGAACAAGTTACCGATAACGGATGTTTGCAAATCTTCCCATCTTGCAGTGTTATCGCCCAACCAATGTCCACTATATCGACCAGAGGAGATGAAGGTTGATCTAAAGTTGAAATTAGTATACAATTGTAGCTTTCGAAGAATATTTTTAAACTATTATTACCTAGAAATGACAGCTCCTCGTTTCCCCGTCGCCGATTTCAAAGCCGCATACGTGGATCGAGCCTCGGACCAGCCATAAAGATTCTATAAGGATGGGCTAACATTTTCAAAATCAAATATTCTTGTTTTAGAGATGTTAAGAGATAAATACTTGCCTTTGTATTGTAGAAATCTTGAGTTCCTCGTTGCGTCTTTGCATTCATACAAAGCGTCTTCGAGCACAGATTCTCTCCAGGACTGCAAGCAAAGTGGATTCATCATCAGAGAAAAGAGAAAGAAACTTACTGCATGTAAACAGCTTGTGTTTGATATGGTGGATTGTCGAGTTTTCCGTCTTCTCCTGAAAAGTTTTAAGTGCAGCTTGCCGGCGTGTTCTACGATGATGGAGATATCACAAAGAATCTTTTTGATGATATCACAAAGAATCCCCATTTCTCGTTCAATTTCAATTATTCAACGGGTGACACAGCCGCCAAGTTGACGTTTGTCACGAATGACAAAATGGATGTGACGCAAGTTTTAAGTGCAGCTTACTGAATACAAGTACAGTTTATTAGGTTGGTCAATTTTTCTTTTCGTACTTTCGTTTAAAACCAACAAATGCACCAATTGAACTACAGTTTTTGACCATTTGAGCCCGACTTTTGAACAAGACATTTGAACAAGAGACGTTCATTAAAAAGCTGCTTGCAAGTCTGTTCTCGTAGACATAACTTCAAAGCTTCAAAGCTGCAGTAACTCACCCGAAATTGGGCACGCCAATTTGTCCCCGGTCGGCGCTTCGCCGTGTACTCGATTCGATGAATAGACATTTGTATCAAAGTTCGACGGCTCGTTCATATCAATCCACATTCCATCGAATGGCGTCTTTAAAAAAAATGATCCATATCCTTTCAAAAACACTCACAATATTATGGAATCGGGCAAACTCGCCAGCCCACCAGGCATCCGTTTTGCCGGTTGTGTCCAGGAAATCGGGGAAAGCTGTGTTTCGCTCTGGCCACACATTTCCTAAAAGACTTGCATACAAAGATTGAGTCTCTCAAGTGCCTAGCATAATCTTTGTGCTTTTTGCCATTGGATATTGATCCTGGATTTGACGGGGCACTAGGTCAAATCTCGGCCATTCGATGAAGGAAGCATTCTGAATTGGGTTTATGGGCAGATTTTTTTTATATACCTGATCGATTCCTCTCTGGAAAGAGCTATAATCGACTTCAATGGCCGGATCGAAGATCAAAATCAAATGAAGGCCTTGAGAATGGAGTTGCTGCGCGTAGGCCGGGAAACCAGACCAGTCCTGGATAGGTAACTGTGCATAGAAAGCTGTCAATTCATATCCATTAGCATGAACTTTAGCAATAGTTAGCTCAGCTGAATGCCTTGCTTATCTTTACGATGAACTCACATCTCCTTCAGTGAAATCCTCATAATGACTCATATAATCGATATCCGCATAAGGAACATCAAGGGGGATTCCAGCTGCCTGATTTCTTGTGATCACCGCTTGCATATCAGCGAGATTTTTGTAGCCCCAACGACACAACTAAATTGGCTAGACATAAGTCATTTCTTTAAACTTCTTTTAATGTTATTATGCAGAAAAATCATTAGCTTTTCTAATGAAAGAAACCATAGTTCAATTGATGCAAACAAAAAATTTTCTGTACAGCTTTTTACCTGATATCCAAGTGCCCAATAAGCGGGCAGGAAAGGTCGACCGATGTAAGCCAAGAAACCCTAGAAAGATATCTTGAAATCTGTAAATTTATCCTTTACTTGAATAACATCTTCGGGTTTTGGGCCAGGGAAGAAAGCGAGATCCAGCTGCCCGCCAATCGTTCGATAAATGAGATGTGGAGCTGGACCGAGGGTGACTTCCTACAAATGGAGTCTCATAGGTCGATCTACAGTAACAGTCGATCTGACTATGAGTCTACAAATTGCTGTTAATCACAAACTTGTGCATTGCTGTTGATGATGAGCACACCGTGGGCTTTACCGTCCGGTTCAACACCTAATTTTCTAATTAGGATTTGAAAAGAACGTAAATTTATGCAAACTATGCGACTTACAAAGATAAAATGGCTGCGTTCCGTACAGATTCTGCGTGGAGAGAGCTGAGCCACTGTCTGGACCGATATCTCTTGCAAACATCGGCCATGTTGTGTACCTTGTCATATCGTGCTGAAAATGAAAGATTTAGGTATTCAGAAATTTGAAGACTACAAAGAGAAACTACAAAGAGCTAAATAGGGACCAAATAGGGACCAAATAGGGACCAAATAGGAACCAAATAGATAAGTCGAATTCTAGGTTAGTTATTACCTAATAATGTAAAGTAGTTTTTTTAGCTTGGAAATCAGCGAGGAAATCAAAATCAAGGAGAAAGAACTTTTTCAAGATTTGACTGGAGCTTTATGCGCTCTACAATGTTGTTTTCAAGTTTATATTGCAACAAAAACAATTTGGTTTAGGTTTCTAATGCATTATCACATTCAGAAGAGTCAAAAGATTGATGATTTGGATGGTTTATTTATCAAATTCAGTAAACCGAACCTTCATCTTTTTGTGCACATGTTCTCCAAAGCCGAAAATGCGATCCGACGGAAGAAGGGTAGCGATTTGAATGTACTTGTCAGCAAATAATAATCCACCTAAAGCTTTGTGTCTTCTTGTCGCCGTGGCGTAGTTGAGAGCGGGACTTCTCTATGACCCACTTCTCTATGACCCACTTCTCTATGACCCACTTCCGGCCCCTTCTCTTGACCCACTTCTCTACCCACACGATTCGGGTTCTAACCCCCATAATGCCACTTGGTTTCGATTTTTTAAAACTTTAAATGGCATATTATTTAAAAAATAACCAATAGATGTATCCCAAAGAGCTCGGCCAGTCGATTGACGGGTGACTTTGAAAGAAAATGTGTTGTTCGATGTTACCTAAAACATTCATTTGACTGATTTTGGTTTACTCATCGATCTTATGACTAATAATATGATTTCTACTATAATCCTTTTATTTTCACACTAAAGATCAATGCACAGATGTAAATTGGAAATTCTGTACCTGAAAGTTTAGTGTTTCAGCTTGATTTGATGGTGGTTGTTTGGGGAGATTGAGTGGCGGGGTGTACCTGAAGAAAATTGGAAAGTTTTCTATTTTCTGAACTTATTACAGTATTCTTTTGTCAAGCATATATATATACAGTATATTTGTATTATTCCCGTTTTCCCTACCGTCCCGTTGTCCCAATCGAGATCTCCAAAACGTTTCCAACTTTACTCGTTTTGAACGTAAGCGGAGAGATATCGGCTCCATAGGGATTAGCAGGTCCTCCTTGTTTCGCTGAACAAATATTAGCAAATTTTTTCTAAAGCTCCCAACTTAGCTGAATATTCTCTTTTCCATCATTGCTGCTCACAGCGTACCCCGTATTTGTCGGATAATAGCAATAAGGAGTGCCGGTGGGTGATCCCTGAAAAGTTAGAGTGCAATTTGTTTTGGTGACTTTAGTTTTGCTCTGACAAAGATTTTCTTATTTGTTGGGCTGAATGCCTTTTATTATTTCTATATTTAAGAAAGAATTGTCATTGTCACAATTCACAATTGTCATTGAATTCACAATTGAATTCACATTGTCATTCTCGGGGATGGCTACTTTGCGCCAAATTTTTTGCGCAACTCGCCAGAACTTTTGGGCCAATTTTTATAATTTTTGGTGTCATTTTGTTGTACTTGTTGAGATCTACAAAATGACATCAAACTCATAAAGATTGGCTAGCACTTCGAAGAAAGTTATGGCGAGTTGTGCAAAAAATTTGGCGCAAAGTAGCGAACGCGGTCATTTTCAGAATATTATAGCCATCAATCTAAAACGAACATTCGGTGCCGCATCCCAAGAGCATCCCCGTTGTGTACACGCGGCTTGAGAGGCGCCCAGATCGGGGAAACAATCAACGCGACGGTTCACATCAACAAAACATTTAGTTGAAGAGAATAAGCAAAGAAAAATGAGAATCCCGAGGCGCTTTTGGTCCATACTTGAATAAGTTTTGGAGGTAACAGGTGCACAATTAAATAAGAATGAGAAGAGAATCAGAAGTAGACTTGGTATCCGATCGTAACTCTGTCGGATTGAATCGGATTCAATCCAATAGAGGCTTTTATCGGATTGGATTGAATTCCGTTGAATGAGGTGATCGAATCGGATCGGATCGGATCATCATCCGAGACAACCCGATCCGATGTAATCCGGATTTGATTCATCGGATGGCAATTCTAGTGTCAGTTTTTACAATCAAATTTCTAAGTGTTTTGGTCTTAAAGTTTGCAGGCTAAGAAGTTCAAGTTAAGAAAAGTTTTTCAATGATCTAATGAACTAATGAATACTTTAGGAAGGTAGATAAACAGATATAAACAGATAAACGCATCTGACGATTTTACGTGAACGTCAGATGCGTTTATCAGTCAGATGTTTATCAGTCAGAATTAGGTTGTGAGAATCAAATGGGAATGGCTCTTTGAGTTTTATCTTTTCGAAACATTGATACTCAAAGTATCAACAAGATCAAAAAGAATTTGGTGGAACTGTTCAATGATTGACCGGGAGTAGCCATCTTTTCCTTTCCAGCTTCTCCTTTCCATCTTTTCCTTTCCAGCTTCTCCTTTCCATCTTTTCCTTTCCAGCTTCTCCTTTCCATCTTTTCCTTTCCAGCTTCTCCTTTCCATCTTTTCCTTTCCAGCTTCTCCTTTCCATCTTTTCCTTTCCAGCTTCTCCCTCTTCCCTTGCTCTCTTTCCCCTCCCAGACTTATCACATTTCCCCATTTCTTTCTTTTTCTTTTCTCTCTTCAATGAACTCTCTCAATATTTCAGATAAGAAATTCTGAACGTAGAGACTTTCAATTTGGGCGAATCTTTTTCAAAGGAATTTACAATCGCAAAACGTCAATGAAATAAACGTGCAAATTGGGTGGAGCTGAGCTGAGCGACAATGAAATAAACGTGATTTTCGGGTGGAGCTGAGCAAATTGGGGACAAAAAAAATGCTCGTTTGTTTCAAAATAAACATTCGTTTTTAGGAAAACAAAGAATTGATTGGGGAATGTTTCTAGTTTTCGCGATTATTTTAATTTGTGTAAACACAAAGAAAACACTTGAATTGTTTGGCTCGGTGGCAGAGCGTCTGTCTAGTAAACAGAAGGTCGCTGGTTCGATTCCAGCATGAGGCACTCAATCTTTTGTTTCTTGAAAAATTATCTGACTTTGGTGAATCTAAAAATAGTTGAACGTCAAAATTCTCATTTTTTCATTTCCCAGTTCCTTCACATCTCTTTCGCGCTATTCTTCAGCACTCTCGCTTCAGCACAGCACTTCAGCACTACACAAACTCTTGCAATCCGATTTTGACAACCGATTGGCTGGGAGGATATTTTGTGAATATGTTTTATCATAATTATAAATTATGATGAAGCCGAGTCACCCTAGAAAATCATTTGATACTTTTGACATTTGATATTTGATATTCATTTGACAAGTGGATCATTCTCCAAGCTCTGGGGAATATACAGTACCGGTTTTCTGTTTACGTTTCGAGAAGGCTTGAACTTCTAGTACGGAACTTCTAGTACTGCAGAGTTTTAAGGACAAAACTTTAATGAACGCTGAGCTTTTTCCTCTCAATTTCTCCTGGTTTTCGCCAGTCTAGTGCCTGAATTTCTATTTATTCGAAATCTATTCATTTATCACTTCCTCATTTCAACTGACGTGTCCCCATTACGGTGTTTCCCCCACCACATTTACACTACTGGACAATGAAATATCATATTTGAAAAAAGATCGTCACTTTCGCGTGTCTGTAACTCCCTTGTCTTTGAGTTTAAACTATTAGTGTTATACATTTTCTGAAAGCTCTTTTCAAGGGCTACACAATGGTAATATTAATATTTAGAAATACGGTAAAGATAAGGGAGTTACAGACGCGCGAAAGTGACGATCGATTTTCAAATATGATATTTCGTTGTCCAGTAGTGTATAAAAGGTTCTTCATTAACTGTGCTTTAAGGAACACCATTAAACTATAATTTCAATGATTTCACGCTATTTTTTACCCACATTGTGTTGATTTTTGAGTTCAAAGCTGGATTTAGAGTTGTTAATTGATGTGTACTTTGTGCTTGAAACTTCGAAACACAACTTTTCTGGTACACTTGCCATTGTATTATACTCGAACCAAATGTGACTGCGTTAGCTGTGCCAAAACCTCTAATTTATCTGAACTTGAGCCATTTCCTCTGTATTCCATTTTTCCCCATTTTCCCCATTTTCCCTGTTTTTCCTGGCTACAAATTATTATTGTGCAATTAAAAATGACGAAACTTTTATTAGCAGCATATATTTCCGGGTCGACACGTGTATCCGGAAGCACATTGACCATTGTAACAAGAGCCGAATGGAGCAACTCCAGATGGACATTGGGGACAACAATAGCCTGATGACGCTGAACATGTGTATCCACTTGGACAACCCTCAAAATATTACTTTAATTTCAAAACCCTTCAGTGACTCACATTTGTGCAAGTTCCCGCTGTTTGTCCATACCGGCACTCGCAACAGTAATTTGACGAGGTGCAAAAGAATTGACCACATTGATTCGAAATACAAGATGCAAGAGCGGCTTGACCACCGCAGGAATCTCAAATTGGTTTTTTGATTTAGAATCTGCTGAAGTTTATGCAGCTTATAGTTATGTGTAATAGATTTAAATATGAAAATTGCGATAATTTCTTTTCTACAGAGAATTTCTCTATACAAGTTGTAGCAGCTTTTGAGATTTTTATTAGAGGCTTAGAAGATGAGGCTTAGAAGATGAGGCTTAGAAGATGAGGCTTAGAAGATGAGGCTTAGAAGATGAGGCTTAGAAGATGAGGCTTAGAAGATGAGGCTTAGAAGATGAGGCTTAGAAGATGAGGCTTAGAAGATGAGGCTTAGAAGATGAGGCTTAGAAGATGAGGCTTAGAAGATGAGGCTTAGAAGATGAGGCTTAGAAGATGAGGCTTAGAAGATGAGGCTTAGAAGATGAGGCTTAGAAGATGAGGCTTTGAAGATAAAACAACTTTGGCAAACAAAACAAATTGATAAACATTGGCATGAAATGAAGCTGAAATGAAGTTGATGGCATGAAATGAAGCTCTCAATGAAGCTTCATTGAGACTGCATCGGATTACTGTTGGTGAGACTTACTGTTGTAATTACAAGTTGTTTTGAGCGTGTTTAATAAAATTTTTGATATAATTGACTTTTGTAGAAGTATCACAATACGAAGTTTATGCAGTTCCTAGTTCAATCCATTGTTAAATCTCTGTGCTTATCTGCTTTTCTATCAATTTCACCCAATTTCACCCAATTTCACCCAATTTCACCTAGCTATTCTGTTTATGTTTGTTTATCAAAACGTTACATTGATATTCCTGTCCTGTCAGCTGACAACACAATCCATTCATACACGATTGGCCCACAGAACAAGCCGAATTCGTCGAACATCTTGTCGATGTGCGTTGACCGTTGAAACAGAAACCTGGAGTGTGATTTAAATGAAAAAAGAGTACAAAAAAAATAAAAAATATTTATTCTATCAACTATAGCAACTTCTTTCACTTGTTCACATTGTTCAAACCTAAAGAATTCGATGGGAATTGTGTCGTAAACGTGTTGGGTGCAGTACAGCAACAGCCATTCAGACATTGAGTGGTTTGGGTGCTGAAATCTTCATTGAGCCAAATTCTTAGATCAATTCTGTACCTGTAAGGAGTACACTGATAGCTGTAGATACACCCAACGCCGATCAATTGTCCTCCATTTGTACATGAGCCCGGATAATTCGGGTAATTCGGATAATTTGGGTAGTTTGGGTTACTTGGGTTTGTGTTGCACTCTAAATCATTTTCTATGCGACTATTTCAGTTCAACATACGATAGTATGAGTAATATTGATTTGGATATGTTCCACAGACATAATATTGACGCTTCGAGCGGACATGGGGCACCAAATCGTGAATGGAATAGACGGTAAAGAAGAGGGTGCAGAGCCAAAGCAGAAGCATTTCCTTCGTCTAAACTTATCGATGTTTCATCCAAAGATATTACTGCTATATAAAGCATAATTCTTATATATATGTTGTGTCCGATTTAGATTGAATCTAAATCGGACGTCCGATTTAGATTGAACTTATCGCGGACGTCCAATTTAGATTACAGTCTATATCGGACGTCCGATACAGATCGAACAATAATAAACGTGCTTAATATATGTTCTTAAGCGTTTTTTTTGCAATTTTCTGCGCTTTTCAAAGAAATTTTCAAAGAACATATGTTAAGCACGTTTATTATTGTTCGATCTGTATCGGACGTCCGATATAGACTGTAATCAATAAAAGACCTTTGAAAAATGCAGAAAACTACAGAAAACGCTTAAGAACATATATTAAGCATGTTTATATTATTGTTCAATCCATATAAGATTTAGATTGAATCTAAATCGGACGTCCGATATAGACAGTAATCTAAATCGGACGTCCGATATAGACTGTAATCTAAATCGGACGTCCGCGATAAGTTCAATCTTAATCGGGCGTCCGATTTAGATTGAATCTAAATCGGACGGAAATCTAAATCGGACACAACATATATATAAAGTTATATAATTTTTATAAACTGTTATTTCATAACAACTATTAAACCAATACGCTTATTAACTCAATGAAGAGAATGCAAATCCGAGAAGCTACCAGATAAACCTTGAAAGATCCAGCAAGAGCTAGATTAGAGTGTGTTCCTTGCAGACAACGCGTTTTCTAAAAAGCGCGCGCCAAGGATAAGCTACCGTAACCCTATGCTTTGCAGCTTTGCATTTTTCAAAATGCAAATGTACATTAAAATCTTGCGCTCTTTTTTTCTATTACTCTTTCGCTAAAACTTAAAATTCTTTAAATGCTATGTAAAATTAAAGAAAACATTTAAAACGGGAAAAGTTAATAACCATTCCAAAAAAAAATTTCACGCCCTAAGCAGAGCTAGATTCTAGCAAGAGCTAGATTATGACTGCAGTTTACTTGCTATAAGAATTTACTTAATACAAACTGAAGAAGAAAACCGTATTTTCCCTGATACATCCTAAGCTTGGCCTAAATTGTTCGAAATCTCGAAAACCGCTTATCAGAACCTATCGATGTGGGCTCGGAAAATGTAGCTGACGATGAGATCTTGTGGGGGATTAGAGTGCTGAGCTTCTGTAAAACCTTGGAAACCGGTAGTAGTGCAGAGCCGAGCCGAGTTGATGACTATTTTAGTTTTCGAGATTTCGAACAATGTAGGCCAAGCTTAGGATGTATCAGGGAAAATACGGTTTTCTTCTTCAGTTTGTATTAAGTAAATTCTTATAGCAAGTAGCCGAGTTGATCACTATTTTAGTCATCAACTCGGCATCAACAGTTGATGACCGAGCCGAGTTGATGGCTATTTTAGTCATCAACTCGGCTCGGCTCTGCACTACTATTAGAGAAAATACGGTATCTGTGTTGGAATAGAAAAAAAACGGACTGATAGTAAGTAAATTGAAAAGGATTCATTGCAAAGATAAATGAGCTTGTTTCGAAATGAAAGTTGAAAGCTATTTATAGAGAAAACAAAATCCCCATGAGTCAGAGAAGTTGAAGGATGGAGTGGATTGCATTCTGAATGAAATCAGAATCCTTTTCTCCTTCATCTTTCCTTTTTTGTGTACTCACCTGTGCGTGCCCGTTTCATAGTCATTTTTTTGAAGGCCATTCATTGAAGCTGGGTTTCAAGAATGCAAATTGAAAGAGCTGAAATGCTCTAATGTTGAAAAAAATGCCCGTGAAATAACGAAGCAAAAAGTAAACTTTTAAAAAAAGCCGCGGAAAAACAAGGAGATCTCGTGTTGAGCGGCGTTTATTTACTGTGAATACGAGTGAAATTTACCGTGAAGTCTCTGAATCTCATATCAAGTTTTTAAAAGTAATTCTTAAAAATAAGGTAGCCTGAGCCTGAGCCTGAGGCCTGAGCCTGAGCCTGAAGCCTGAGCCTGAGCTATAAACTTGTACCCGAGGGTTTTTGGCCTCGGGGAAACGATTAGAAATGTTTCTTTTACTAAATCTTTCAAGCAACTATAGCTTTGACTCTGTTTCTATTTTGTTTATTAGAAACAGATTTAGACTTTGTTAAAAACTCCCTAATTTCCAGTGATTTCCAGTGATTTTCAATCGAATTCAGCTTGTTCACCCTTCCCATTTCTGTGGTAGTAAATTCGAGCAAAACTCATTCTTTTATTGAATTTCAAGGTGTTCACATGACTTTTTTTAATGAGCGAAAAGATGAAAAGGGAGCCGATCTTCATAAAAGTTTTGCACTCCTTTACTTTTTTGTGACGCACAAGAGCTCGTGGTATCGGGTGTAGAAAAGGGCTAAAAGTTTTTGTTGAACTCGCACTTTTTTGCAGAATTCACACCTCTCACTGATTAGAGATGGGTTTTTGAGCAAAAAGACAAATCAAATTCATTAGATGTTTTGTATGCAATTTGTTAACTTCATCTTAAAACTAAACGAAGCTAAACGAAGAAAACTAAACGAAGAAAACTAAACGAAGAGAACGAGCTAAACTAAACGAAGCCATAGACTTGACCTGGTCTTTCAAGTAGTCATGTAGAATTTAACTATCGAGCTTGAATAACTTTGTATTGGAAATACCTATCCAAGGATTACTCGAATGTGAAAAGTGGATCTATCAGACACACGATAAACCAGTACAAGTATCAGTTATCAGTCAAGTATCAGTCAAGTATCAGTCAAACAGTCAAGTATCAGTCAAACAAAGCAACCTATCTGAAAAACCTGTTGTTTCCAAAGCATGTAAGAATTTTGACCTAATGAAGCTTTCCATTTCCCTTCATTGCTTTAAAATTATTTTAACCAAACGCCTGGCAATTAAGGAAGATTGGATATTTTTTTTGGTTTTATCAAGAGCGATTTTATGGGGTGAAGGGAGTTGTCTGTAATTGGATACAAGAATTTGACACGTTTTTGTGGGGAGGAAGGGGGGTGAAGGGCGGGCATTCGGGAGAACAAAGAATACTGTCCATTCAAAAGTGTCCATATTGTCCATATTTGAGATTCAAAAGTTAAGCATAGAATTGGAATCGTTTCGACTAAGTATCTAACTTTTTCTTTCTTCAAAAGGTTAATCAAAAAAAGATTGAGGTTGTAAGGATGTTTCTGGAAGACAATGACAGTTTGATCTGGAGAGTTCGATAGAATCACTTCTCGTCTATTCCTTTTTTACCTTCTCCATCTATTCATTGGTGTCTTTTCCAAAAAAAGGTGTTCTTTCTTGGATTCAACCTTTTTTTTGAGAAAAAAATCCCTTCTGTGGGAGGGAATTGAAAGGATTAAGGAATAGAGGAATAAGAAGGAAAAAAAGAAGGCTTACCATATCAGAGAATGGCTTCTATTTGTGAAAATACACATTCCCATTCTTAACGTTTCCCCCCTATCAGAAACGAATACCGCAAATTTTTCGGATTAGCCAGATTGTTACCGGATTGAAAGGCTGCGATGGCTACGGGAGAGGACTTTGTCTCTGTGAACTTTGCTGGGTTTATGTCCTACCCGAATAATTTTACCTACCGTAAATATTGTAATAGTACCCCACCCCCCTCGTACAGTCACGTAGTCGCAAAAGTTTTTTAGTATTTCATTTTTTTCAAAGCGCCCATACTTTCAAAAAATGCGTCTTTGGTATCAAAAAATAGCTGAAATTCAGGGCTATTTTTTGATACCTAAGCGCGCATTGTAGCATAAACCAGTGTCGAGAAACACTCGTTCAAAGCTAGACTACGCAACACTCCGCACCGTCATTATGGGGGGAAGGGGGCTATTACAGTATTTACGGTACTATGTTTTGGGTTATGCTTTTGCTAAATACTATTTGTATTAGTTGACTAAACCTGTCTTTATTAGCCTTAAAGCCTGAGCTGAATGAGCTTGAGCTTGAGCTTGAGAACAATATATAAATTGCTTTGATAACTGGACGATGTTTAAATTTCTTTTTCACTTAGTTTTCTTTATTGTTTAAACATGATATTTAGGAATCGAGGCATCAACTGATCGATTGAAAGAACTCTAATCAACAATGGTAGTTCATACTGGAGAGTTGTGTCTGATCGCAGCAGCTTCTCTCACCACAGCCGCTTTCCTCTTCACTCTTGCCGGCACTTTTGGAGATGGTTTCTTATTCTTTACATCAGTATTTTAAATTTCAAAATTTTAGATTGGGTTCACGTCGACACCACATATGTTTGTTTTTAAAAAAAGAAACATCAAAAACTCATCACTTTTCAGGGTTTCAGTCTGACGGTAGGCATGTTGCCGAGTCGATGTTCGGATATGCCCGAAGATATGGCCGAGTTTGATCCAAATTTCGATATCAATAAATACTGTGATCAGTTGAGAAAGGTACAAGCTTTGAAAAAAGATCCTCAGCTATTGTATTTCCCTTTCAAAAAAAACTTTAATTCCTAAACTTTTCAGGGTATCACACGCGCAATTGGTCACAAAACAGCGGCTCTTCTCGTCCCGGCTCTCTTGGCGGATCTCCTTGCTCTCTGTGCTTTTGGTCTCATTTGGTGGAAAGGATTTAAAGCTAGGAAGGTTTGTTTGTTCTTGAGTATTCTTGGAAGCGATTTCTTCTGATTCAACATCTTTGAAAGATTTGGTTGAAAATGTGAAACAATCTAGACTCCAGACTCCAGTTTCCCTTCCTTGAAACGGGGATCAAAAAGTGTTTTTCTCAAAATTTCTTCAAAATCCTATCAGAGAAATGTTTTTCTTTTGGACTTTTTTACCCTGTGAGTGCACCTAGATGATCGGCTTATTTTCGAAAAGTGGAAAAGTCAAAAAAAAAGATCAAGATAGTGCGAGTGATAAGCTGAAATGAGTGACAACTTGTGGTCAGAAGTCAAACTTGGTCTTAGCTTCCATTTTTGCAGAAAAAAAACACTCTATTTGAAATGAAACACCAAATTTGGGACTTTGAAAAACGAAAGCAGAGAAAACGGAGGTTGCTTTAGAATTCAGCGCTAGAATTCAGCGCTAGAATTTAAGCTATTCAAGCTTATTGCCACAAAATACTATACTCTAGGCATAGTGTATCTTCTAAAGTAAAGCAGCTAAACAGTTTCTCGAGTGAGGTAATTCTTAGCTGACCCAAAGCATTTCCAGTTTGCTCTCCCTGTGGCTTGTGTCCTCCAAATGGTCGCCTGTGTATTGCCAATCATTGAAGCGGCGCATGTTCTGAATTCAGTAAAAGGAAACAAAAAATTGGAACAAGGTAAGACAAAGACGCTGAACTTGTATCACTTAGAGCTTCAGATCAAATCTTTAGATCAATTCTTTAGATCAATTCTTTAGATCAAAACTTGACAACTATTGGCCTTGGTTGGTGCATCGACATTTTGATTGTCGGCGGTGTGGCGGCAGCGATAGGTGCGTTGGAAGACAGGGAGTAAGAAAGCTTAAGACAATGACTAGCTCAAAAAAACAAAAACAAAAAACTGATCTATGAACTCAATGATTTCTTGCAGCTGTCCCCCTGACATTCACCTCTCTCGTCACTCGTCCAGCCCCACCCATTTCCCCGTCAGAAATCACCATCCGCTCTCCGACAATCGTTTCTCCATCGTCGAGAAAAACTCCCCTAGATTAACCAAAATGATTTGATCTTGAGAAATTGTAAATTTTGTACAGTTACTGTTTTTTAGTGTCAGATTTTCAGGCATAAAGTTGCTCAAAACAACCTCAAAACAAGAGAAATTGGTGGCTGAAAATGCTGTAAAGTGCCTTGTCCATTGAAAAAACAGATATTGGTTTAAAAAAGTTAAAAGATATTACCGACGAGGAGTTGGAGTAAGAACTTTGTAACTAAGAGCAATATTCCTCCGCTACAGGGACATCACGGCAAGCGAGGAAATATTACAAAGGGATAGCTAAAACTTTAAAGCAAAATTTCTCGCATTTGGGAGCTAGTTAGGAAAAACTAAAAGCCGATTCGGAAAGCCCGTGAAAAACTGAACAAAATAGGATAGGTTTGGTTTTGAAATTCCACCTTAAGTTGGTGACCTTCCCTAGTCAGTCATTTCTTCTTATGGTTCCTCTTCCCAATCGGATTACTCATCCATTTCTCGAGCTCTCCCATTTTATAAGCTTTTCGAGAATGATTGCAAGAAGAGATGTCTGTCTTTCTTTCTTTCACTTTCATTGAACTCTTTCATTGACAACATGCTGAACACGAGACGAAATATTGGATTCATTGGGTTTAATCTGTGAAACTCTCAAGATGGTAATTGAGGCATTGCTTACAGACACGTTTCAAGACCATTTCACTTATAGAACGCACAGTATGAACTTCTTTTACTCATCCAAAAAAAAGAATGTTTCTCTCTCAGGGCAATTCCTTGAAAAGTTCCATTCTTCTCAGTCACAATTTCGTGGTTATTTGTTGATTTGAAAAAAGAAAAAAAAAGAGAGAAAATGGCATTGTATCCATTTTTGACCGTTTCTCGCACGAAAAGATGAACAGTCCAGGAGAAAGGAGAAAAAAGGGAAAAGAAACTGAGAAAAATGAGTCGACCTTCTCCATTCTCTTTTCATTTTTCCCATCCTTAAATGCCTATAAGCTTTCCCATAACCATAACAAAGAGTAAGTTGAAAGCTTTTGGGAAGTCCTGATGAGTAAGTGAATTTCTTTTGAATTTATCTTTTAATCTTGTCGTCATTTTCCATTCTTTTTTTGCCCCTGGAATGCCTGTCAGACATAGATCTGACGTCACAATACCCTTTCTCGATTCTCAACACCATTTCCCATTCCTCAACACTCCTCACTCACTCTTGAAGAAGAAATCATGACTCACACCGATCATTCCTTGACTTTAGATTCAACTAGAACTTATATAAGCAAACTCTTTTCATTTCTGTTTGAACCAAATCGGGAAATTCAACTCCAACCATTACAACCAGCTCTTATCGACACAACTTTTCAATTTTCTTGTTTAGAAGATTGAAACTTGTTATTACTTTTATTAAGTGAGACTTTCAGAATGTATTCCTTGCTACTCTTCCTCTCAATCCTCACTCCATCAGCCGCCACATTTGGTGGTTGTTGTGGGATGTCCCTACCTCCACCCTGTCCACCCCCTCCCCCACCCCAAATGTGTCTACCCCAACCACCCCCATGTCCACCACCTCCAATGTGTCCACCGCAAGTAAGTCTTTAAATGGCCTATTGATGAGCAATTGACACTCGCAGTTTTGCCCTCCTCCGCCGATGTGCCCACCTCCACCTCCACCCCCTCCACCCCCAATGTGCCCTCCACCCCTTCCACCACCTCCATCTCCATGTATGAGCTATGCTCCACAACCAGTCTTTCAACAGGTAAACAAGTTTAATATATTTAACAGAATTCAAATAATTCAGTACACCCAACCACCAGCGAATGATTGTTGTTGTCGTTGTGGATCGCCTTGTGCTTTCAGGGTGAGTTTTTCGGAAATGAAGTTAGAGGAAAAATGGCCAAAGATTAGAAAAAGAAGGTTTCAGGCTCGTCGCGCTAAAACCCTTGGTTCAAAGCTATTCGATTTGTCGCACGATGAAGAGGATCTTGATCCAACATGCTCGAGCAAGAAGCTTCGACAAGTGTTGATCGATGTAAGTTAGAGATTCGATAGATTTGAGTGCACTGTATATAATACTGTAGATTCTAGAAAAAGCTATTTTTAATCCCTTTTCTAGAACATGACTACCGATCCATCATCCACAAAGCGAGCAGTACAGAAAGCGGCTGAAGAGAAGTTGTTCGGTGAGTGGAGACAATGCTAGAATTACTGTATTTAAATGAACTAAAGATCACTACTAGGATGTTAATCTAACACTTAGCCTATGGTTTTTATAATATCAGGCAAACTAGTATATAAAAACTAGTGTATAGTCCTAAGTTCTACCACGTTTCGGGACTGAGATATTAGATCAATTCTAGAGTAATTTCCATATCAGATATTACTTAACTATTGTATTTTCTTTTCAAAAAATGTTTCTTCAATGTTTCTTCAAAGATCATCATTGAATTGCTCTGAATGCTGATTTGCTCATTTCCAGGGAAATTCAATGTAATCTGTGCTGCCGGGGATTTCAGCTATGTTGCTTACACTGATACATATTGTCAACATTCAAATGGTGATGTCACATGTTATGTGTTTAGACCAATGTAAAATAGATATCTAAAATCCGAAATTTTTTATAATATTAGGTTGATGCAAAAGTCTTTTTCATTTTTTTCGTACTTCCGTTAAAAAGTAACAAATGCACCAATTGAACAACGGTTTATTGCATTCGAAAGGCCAATTATTTTTCTGCAAAATGACATTAAAACGAGTTTAAAATGTCTTATGTCTAGATTTTTTTGAGAGCCTGAAGTCGGGTAGTCAAAAAAGGCGACGGCTCGATGATGCATTTTAGACGCTTTAGCTAAGGAAACCAATCTTGATGTTAATAAATAAAAGATAGAGCACAAAAAGTTAGATATTTTTTCAGATTTTCAGAGAAATTGATTCAGCCAATTTCTTTATAGAGGTTTTTATAGATTTTTATGAAAAACCCGTTTTCACTCTCGAATTTGCTTGAAAGTGAACCCAAATTGACTTAAAAAGATGGGAAATTGAACAATAAACACTTTTCATTTAGAGCAAACCATAGGTTAATTGATGACTTTGTTATTTTTCAAAAGAAGTACGAAAAAACGAAAAAGACTTTTGCATCAACCTAATATATGGATATTGATAGGAAAATTGATAGAATCTCGAGTTTACTTTCATCAAACGCAATCTCGGTGCATTTCCTGTCAGGTTTATTAGCAGATTACGTGAATATAAATCTTTTCATTGTTTCAAGATATTCAGTTAAAGCCCTAAATACACATCTTTTCTTCTATAAAAGCCATTCATTTTTTTCAATAGCCATTTTCAAAAGATTTGATTATCTTAATTTTATATATGTTACGTCGGAATCTGAGGAGACGTCCATCTCCGATCCGGACGTCCGAATCTGAGGAGATTCATTCTCCTCTGAAACGGCACCGATGGACGTCCATCTCTGAGTCGGACATCCATCTCTGAGTCGGACATCTATCTCTGAGTCGGACGTCCGATCTTGAGAACAAATAGTTTAAATGCAAAATCCAATGTTTTGAACAAAACAAATGAAAAAGGAAGTTAAAATGGAAATTCTCTCAATTTACTTTTTTTTCTTCACAAATAATTTGGTAATATGTACGGTTTGGCAATTCTCCTCTGACAGGAGAGGAGAATTGCCGGAATTGAAACGGACGTCCGACTCAGAGATGGACATCCGACTCTGAGTCGGACGTCCGTTTCGGAAGAGAATGAATCCCCTCAGATTCGGACGTCCGGATCGGAGATGGACGTCTCCTCAGATTCGGACGTAACATATATATAAACACTTTATAAATACTACTTTAATGAATTCTTTTCTGGCATAAACACTATCCATCTCGTTTGTACATATTCGATGCTTTTTTTGGTTTTGTTTTAATAAAAAATTGAATATTTTTTTTTGGATTACAAATACAAAGGGTATAAATTTAGCGTCGAAACAATACTATCAAAAAACAAAACAATTGCAATTTTTGGATTCTTTTTGGGGAAATCCTATAAATTTGTATCAACAATGAAACGGTGACGAAAAAACGCCAAAAAAAAGAGTATTTTGGGTTCTCGGAAGCGAATTTTTGTGCGTTCATTATCACCGTTTTCTGTAAAAAATTTTCTGAATGCGGTTCTAAGTAGAAAAATTTACTTCAGCTTTCATTTAAATTGATTTTTCTAGCCAGCAACTTTCAATTGTTTCTCAAGATCTCAATCTTTTTTCTCATTTCTATAATTACAAATTGTTTTCTCACGATTTTCCCCCATTCAAGAAGATCCAGAACACATTTCTCCCGCAATTAGCGATCCTTGGGAAAATCAGGCAGAATTTCAACAAACTGCGTTTTTTTTGGTGGTCCTTGAGCGTCTCAGATAAAATTTTTTTCAATAATATTATCGTTTTCAAAATTTTCAAATGCTATGGCATCATTAGCAATAAAAATTCGATGCTTCGGTTATATTCGGAAAGATACGGGAAAAATAATTATTTATAGCCAAAATACGGGAAAATGACTCAAGTTCGGCACAAATTAGGGATTTTGCTTGGAGATACAACAAACGAACCCCGCCAATCGCTTCCCCGATCCCGAAAACCCATGAGTACAAACTCTTGGCTTCATATCTCATCTAAGCAATGTTTACAGAACAAAAGAAATTTCTTTGTAGAGACCAAGAGGCGTTTTTTGTGCAACCTCGTAATCGTTAACCCTCTGCCGCAGGGCTTTTCCATAAGGGAAGCCCTTCCCCCTTTCGGCTAGTTTCATTTCTGAATCAAAGTTTGCTTTTTAATTTTCCTCAAAAGATGTTTTGAATTTTTTAAAGATGAACTGAAGATTGAAGAATAAAATGAGAAGGGCCATGTTTTTGAGGTTGCCTTGCATGAATGAAAATAGCAATTTCCTGAGTGAACAGCTACATGGGTCTTTTTGTTGAACTTCCAGATGACCGGATTGCTTCTTTCTGCCAGTTGTTCCCTTTCCCGTTCAAAGATCATCCAAAAAGGAAGCAAGCTTTTAAGATGGGAAAATCTAATTTATTTTTTAGATTTATCTTCTCTCTTTCTCTTCACCAAAGGTATTCCGTTCTCATTCAGAAATGTCTTTGGCTTTGATCTTTAAATTCTACTTCAATCTAAAGCTGTTCATTTATTGTATTTATTGTACTCGTGTTTCCATTGTGGATGTACTTGTGGTTGCAACTCTCACGTTTCAGTTTTTAAGCAAAAGCAGAAATTATATATTTCACGAATTGGTTGTTTCTCAACTGGATATTCTGACTAATTGTACTTCTAATTGGCGGTCAGAGATTGAAATAGCTTTCAAGCTTTTGGTGCTAAATAATTTGATCACAAGCAAAACATGGAGTCGTTGGAGCAAGGAATTGGCTGGTTGACTGCGCCAGAACGGGTGTCTTTTCACAGGGCACAAGCATTGTAGTGGATGCATTTATCTAGTGAAAGGTGCAACAATCAGAATAAAAGTCAATAAAGATTTGGATTGGGTAAATGAAGAGACTGTGCGATCGAATCTTATTCAATCTTAAGTAGAGTGTGTTCCTTGCAGACAACGCGTTTTCTAAAAAGCGCGCGCCAAGGATAAGCTACCGTAACCCTATGCTTTGCATCAGAAAAAATTTTTCAAAATGCAAATGTACATTAAAATCTTGGGCTCTTTTTTTCTATTACTCTTTCGCTAAAAATTAAAATTTTTAAAATGCCATGTAAAACTAAAGAAAACATATTTAAAAGGGGAAAAGTTAATAAACACTATTAAAAAATGATATTATTTACGAATTTACCAGGCCTATTGTCTACATTTGCACTAGAACCATTCAAAAAAAAAAAATTCCACGTTCTAAAAAACCTAAATCCTTAAATAAAACTATCCATTACTATATTTTAGGAAAAGTTAGCAAATTTTTTTCGCGCGACCTTTATAGCTTTGCTTAAAAAAAACCTTTTAGAAAATGCGTTGTCGGAAGTTTGTCAGATCAATTGTCTGAAAAAAAAGTTGTCAATGAAAATTTGTTTGACAAATTGTCTGTCAACAAGGAGCACACTCTAATCTTAAGTCTTATTGACTTTCAATCCAGAAATGGCACTGGTTTACTAGGCGATGTTTTCTAAGAGACAAATGTTTCAAAAAAACTGCCGCAACTCAAACGGTAAGCCGATCGGATCAATTGACAAGAAGAATGATATCAAAATTGCGTCAATCGAATGAAAGTTTTAGTAAAAAGTTGTATGGGAACGTTTGAATCATCCTGTATTGAATATCTTACTCATTCAGTCATCTATCCTATTCACCGTTATCTATTCTATTCACATCTATTCACCACCCAAATTTCTCATTTTAATTTCTTTTCTTTGATCAAAAACATCCAATTTCCTTTTTTTTTTATTTAATTCCCTTCTCGAAATGCCTTCGGATCTCATTTTCTTTTTTTCTTCGTTTCTCGGATAAAAAAAAAGAACGATGAAATTGACACTCAGTCTTTTTTGGGGTTACTTTGTGTGAAATATTAATTTTAAGTGCAAGATCTCTATTTATTAGCCTTTTAATTGTGATTTGAAGGGGAAAGGTTAGTTCTGGAGTACGAGAATCGGCTTGTGTACTACTTTTTTATCTAGTCTATTTTGTTGTTCGATTTTTTTTGTTGATTCCTTCTTTTTCAGAGAGTTCTATACCGGAAATTATCTTTTCTATTCCAAATTAAATTTTCCTCAAAAAAAACTTATTCTCAATTTCCGTTCATTCTATGAAACTTTTCAAAAGAATTCTTTCACATAAAACGTTTCACTTTTCGAAAAAAACTATCACAATTGCGTTCACAAGTTGATCGTTTCTTTTGTTTATTTGATGACTAAACAGTACTTGTTCTTGTTGTTGGGTAATTGTTGGGGATAAAAGTGAAAGGCTAACAAGCGATTTGTTATTGAAATAACATAAAATGGCTTTTGTTGGCAAATCTTTTTTTAGAATAGTGAATAGACTCTAGGCTTTTAAATGATACTAAATAGAGGTTGATTGGACTAATCAATCCTTAGAGAATCAATCCTGAAAGAATCAATCCTTAGAGAATCAATCCTTAGAGACAAAACTCTCAAGTCAGATCACATTATTCTCTCAAATTAGCTTCTGTTTAAGTAATGAATTAGTTTAACAGGACATGGAATTCGTAGCGAAATTGTAGGCAAATTTAAGGCAAAAATTGATCTCAAAAATGTGAGCATAGTGACGCCCTTCTCACTTCCTTTCCATTAAAATCTCGATCCCGAACGTTCATCCGATTCCAAAGATGAAAAGAAGCCTAATTTCTTTTCTTTTTTTGTCTCTTTTCTTCTTTTTTTATTGGTGGGAATTCTATTTACTCTCTTTTTCTTTTTCTCCAATTTTCACACAGAAAATAAAAAAAACTTTCTTTTTTAGGTAAAGCTAGAGAAATTTTTGTGTCTGATTTAGAGACTTTTACATTATTAAATTGATAAGTAATGAAAAGGAATAAGCAAATTTTTAAAAAGAACCAATAAAAGCACAGTTTTTTTG